TTGCACACTAACAGCCCAATTCAAAGGCGGAGAAATTGCTGACCTGGAAAATGTGCAAAGTTCCTTTACTGCTAGAATCTACTTGATAAAATATTTCAATTATTGGGACCACCTAAAAATGTTAAATCTGTATTCCCTAGAGCGTAGACAGGAATGACAGAATAATGTACACTTGGAAAATATTAGAAGGACTGGTTCCAAATCTACACACAGAAATAACACCCTGCCATGCCTTCTGGTCTCATGTGGTGTGCTGAAGAGTAGAGGTGAAATAGGCATTCTGAGAAAGAACTCGATCAACATCAAAGGCTCAAGATTTTTCAACACTCTTCCACTACACATACGAGGCATAACTGGCCAAGCTCATGCAGTGTTCAGAAGAGAACTTGACAATCATCTTCAAGGGATACCTGATCAACCAGGTTTGACTCATATGTCAGGCTGCGAGCCGCCGCATCAAACAGCCTGGTAGATCAGACCAGCAACCAGGAGGCCTGGTCAGAAATCAGGCCATGGGGGCATTGATCCCCAGAACCTTCAACAGGTGGTAAACAGGTAGATAGGGGTCGTTTGTCTCGTTAGAATCCTTGATGAATCTGATACCTTTGATATCACGCCAGAAGATGAAGAAACGTCATTTCTTCATCTTCCGGTGTGTGTGGTTTGGTCATCAATAACTACGTTATTGTGATTCCTCATCTGCTTCCCCCTAACATACTGAATTTCACTTCCTCTTCCTGTTCTTAAACATGTGTTGAACTCATTACCAGAGCCTGTGATCCTTTTTGGTGATTACCCAGTATAACTGTCAGCATGCCTTCCAGGGGGAATGATTTGACAAATACCAGAGATTCTCAGGCCAGAAGGCGACCCAAGGGGGCAGGCTCATACAGCATTCATTATGAGAAGCTTATCTCCTACTTCAGTGTCCCTTTCAGTATTTGCTGAATATCTATAACTGTATTTGAGAGATGTTGTCAGTCCCTGACGACTGGTTTGAGACAGTTGTTCTCCCTATGCAGAAGCCTGATACTCAAGGGACTTTCCCTAAGGATTTTTGCCTTATTGCCTTGACAAGTTTCAAGAAAATTTGCAGATGCACATATAATCAATGTACATCTAATGTGGTTCTAAGAACACTATCACTACCTCTTCCTCTCTGTTTGACTTTTGCAAGTGTCACAGCATGACTGATAGTGAATTTGAAGGTCTACATTCATACCTGGTTGATGGGGTTCTGGGAGTTCTTCTACTCCCCAAGCCCGGCCCGAGGCCAGGCTTGACTTGTGAGAGTTTGGTCCACTAGGCTGTTGCTTGGAGCGGCCCGCAGGCCCACATACCCACCACAGCCCGGTTGGTCCAGCACTCCTTGGTATACCGTCTTTGCTGCAAATATCCCATTACTGCTATTCTTTTTGACTTGGAAAAGGCTTGTAGCACAACCTGAAGATACAATATTTTATCCCAACTGCATTCTTTTAGCCTTCGTGGCATTTTTCCGCTCTTCCTTCAAAACTTCCTCTCTCATTTATTTAAAGTAAGACTTGGTACCACTTTCTCTTGACTTTTTTCCCAGCAATATGAAGTTATTCCCCAAGGTAGTGTGCTGAACACTACTCTTTTTCCTAGTTACCCTAAATAGATTTCCTTCTTTCCCTCAGGCATTTTATGCTGACAATCTCACTCTGCATTCGGAGCGACAACTCCCCATTCCTCCAACACCAGTTCCAACTTGTGATTGATACCATATCATCCTGGGGCCCACCAGTCATGGCTTCAACTTCTCTAAGACTGAGAATTGTGCTATGACTTTTACTTCGAAGTGAGTCATTCTTCGTCTCCCATTGTTGCCCAATGGTAATCCCCATCTGTATAAAGATTCTGCTAAACTTTTGGGGTTGATCTTAGACACCCGACTGTCTTGGTCATTCCATATCTCTCACCTCCAAGTTGAATGCTCGAAGGCCCTTACCTTACTTAGTCTTGTCCCAAACTTCCTGGGAGCTGATAGGCACACACTATTTGCACTTCTCTCTCTCATATTATCTAAACTCAATTATGGCTGCCCTGACAACTCTTCTGCCTCTCATTCGGCTGTTTGTTGACTTGATGCTCTGCACCATGCTTGTCAAACTGAGGGTCCCCCGAGGACCACATGGGTCACATTTATGTAATCATGAGGGCCTCACACGACAACTAATTGAACTCACGGGGCACTTAAGGAAGGCTGCCCTAAGCACATGCAGCTGAACTAACTCATCCACCACTTAAGTACACCTCGCCACCACACCATGAACAGCAGAGGACACCACTAAGGCAAAACACTGCCAGGAAACCGAAGTCAGAGTTGACGACTGCCCTGGATCGCATTAGCCAACGAACTGAAGTTGCTGGGTAACTGGTGCGGGGGATCTGGGGCTCCCCTCTCCCCCTCCCGGAGGGGAAGGCTGCACGAACAAGTGGCGTGGCAGCGAGGTGTTCTTTCATTCAAAATTTTGGTTCCAATTTTATTATCATGTGGGGTATGTTTTGTTATGCCTACCATTCTGGGTGCCTAACCCCAGTTGATGGCAGATAAGGAAACCCCCCAACCACAGGGGGGTTTTGGGGTTAGGCACCCAGAATGCTGCTGTGCACCACTGCTCCTGTGCCTTTCTAAGGGGGGCCAGGTTCTGGCCCATGGTCCCTGGTAGGCTGAACTCCATTGACTAATGCCCTAGTCTAATGCATCACATATTAGCCCAATACCTCCGGGGAGCCGGAGGAGCTTCCCACAGAAACTTTTCACAACACTACCTTCCTGGCCAAACTTCACAAGTAATTGTGACAACAGAGACATTGTGACATCAATGACATTGACATCAACATTGACATTGACATCAATGACATCAACATTGACATCATTGACATCAACAGACATTGTGACATCTCTCTATATCTCTCTATATCTATATCTATATATCTATCTATATCTATCTATATATATTTATATCTATATCTATAACTATCTATATCTATCTATATCTATATATATATATATATCTCTCTCTATATATATCTATATCTCTCTCTATATATCTATATCTCTCTCTCTCTCTCTCCCTGACAGGGTCGCGCAGGTCATTCAAGCACCACGTATTGCCACAAATATATTTTCAACTGCTTGTTCTATGTATATCCAATGCGGTTTTATTTGTTTCTTTTATCATATATGTGGCTAGTTACCTCAAATCCTTTGTCTGAACTGATATCTGGTGGCAGAACCAGCCATCAGCTAACAGAATGTTCCAATCACAGCATAGCTTTCATAGCAATTGGGTGGAGTGGAAACTTCTGGAAGCTGTAGGGACGTATATGATCCCACACCTAACTTGAAGTGACCTGATGCATAGCCTTGGATGTTGCCAGGAGCAACGTGTAGTGTCCACTATCACTACTACTGTCTGCTACAGGCTCTGGATACTATGAGTACACAGATGACTCCCTTCTTTTCCCTCTGGTATTCTTGAAACAGGTGTACAATGGCCATCAAAGCACCACGAGAATGCCCGTCTTCTGTCCGTAGACATATGACAAGACTGTCTTATGTACATAACCGATGACTTAAGGACCATGCATGTTGCAGTTGTGCACAGAGATGACAAAATCCACACCACAGTTGTCAAAGTACACTCACACATGCAACTTAAGACAGCGTGAATTTCCATACTAACAGTGTGCGAGTTTTGAATCTTACAATTTACCAACAAGCACTATATGGCATCCAATACACTACCCATCAAGAGCCTTTAGGTGCTTTGTGCAGTACAGGGTTAAGACAGTTGAGTTTTGCTGGGTTCCAAGTCATATTGGTATCACCTTAAATGAACATGTAGACACTCTCACTAAGGGGTCCATCCACACTTGACCTTTTTCCCAAAAAGGCATTCCCTATTCCAATTTCTACCTGTCATTCATTCCTCAATCCGCAACAATTGGCAGGGTTGTTGATCTCGTGTTACACGTAACAAACTTCATGCACTTAAAGATAATTTATTCCCTTAGCATTCCTCTTACCACCATAATAGATGGTGGGAAATGACTTTGGCTTGATTACCCATTTGGTCATACACGCTCAACTCATCGGTACTTAATGGAACTCTGCCAGGCTCCTTATTGTCCGAATTGCACAGTTCCTCATACATTCATGCACCACCTTGTAGAATGTCCTGATTTTCAGGACAATCATCAGCCTTGCTTTCCTAATATCCCTCAGGGTCACTTGTTCCTCAATAGAATCCTTGGTAAATCCGAAACCTTTGACATCGCTCTCCTTATGTCCTCCTGTCCTCGTATTAGGATCCCAAGTGATATTTATCGCCTTTTAAATATCCAGCAACACTGATGGTGCTACATAGTCTTCCTGACTTGGTGCCTTCTTTTAATAATTACTTCTACCCCATGGCATTGAGGAACATGGTAATAACAACAAAGGCTGATCCTTACATATACTATTACTCGGTGCTACTATTCCCCAACATTGCATTAAAAATATGGCAACTTTTGAAGCAGATGGAGGAGGCTATGTTAACCCAATACACTGCACTGCTTTTATCAATGTTCTGACATGAATGAAATGGTTTTTTTTTTTCCCAAGGATGAGATCAAAGCTTGTGGTGTCCTGTTTTCAATATTATATACCTGTATATGCCATATAAAGTTTGAAATTTCCAGTGAGGTTGGTATACCTCATTCCATACAATTTATTTCATTTACTTTAATAGAATTATGCAATAATTTACAATTAGATTAGGTGGATGTAACACTGCCACATCCTGATGGCAAAGCTTGGTGGCAGCGGCTTGGGCGATCAACCCTCACTGAACTGAACTTCTGTTAATTCCACTGAACACTAAAACGGTTTGAAATGTCCAAAAATTTGTTAAGAGCAAGAACTCTTTGTACTGCCCTAAAATGAAATCTCTCTACAAGTCATGTAAATTGGATAAAAATAAATGAACAGGAGTACAAATTTTATTCATTTTAGGTTCCTTTTACTTGCATATGTAATAATATAGTTTTATTCAAGGTTACATAAAACCTGCACACAACCACTATTTTCAATTTTGTGTATAATTTGTTACATTTGTAACAAGTTATAGAGCAATTTTGTCTTTGATTTTCCATGAAAACCAAACATTACAAGAGAGAATTCTTTACTCTTCTGTTTCATTTTTAATAGTCACACACGTTTTATAGTTGTTCTTAATTCACAATGGCTATGTTATTAATTTATTACTTACATTTCCATTTTGTCTTTTTGTTTTACAATTCAGCAACTTGTATAATTGCCCATGTAAATATTGACACTACCGTATACTGCGTCTAAAAACTGGCGTATACAAAATACTCCACAAAAGTTTGAATTATTATACTAGTATCAAGATCACTAGTACAAAATTACATAATCAACACTTAATAATAAAGTGCCTAAAAAATCAGTTAATTTCTTTCAAATCTGCCTTACAAATCCATATGAATGATGCATGTGCATTTAAAGAATACATCACCAGTAACTGGAGGGTCAAGATTAAGGCTTCCACAATTTGAGTAGACCTTCTTCACTGTAAGTAGCCAGCAGGTTCTGGTGAGGGTGATGGGTCATTCCAATAACAGACTGCTCATGAACCTGAGGACAGAAAACAAAGCACAGAATGTAGTGAAATCTCCCTTTTTTTCTGATAAGGCCCTCAGAAGCTCCCCCAAGCTGAACACGAATAGTCATGTGTACAGAAAATGGTACGCGAACAGCTTTTCCTCTTTTTCCCCTAAAGGAAAACAGGGAAGTGTAAAAATATGGAAGACTAGAAAAGAAAGACAAATACAGAAACAGTACAAAGCAAAAAAAACTCGCAGAAGGCATCAAATAGGAAGGACGCCAATGAACCCTCCTCGGGGCCAAAAACCACTCCCAGAAGATATCAATTTCTATTTTTATTTAATCTATTTGATAACTGGGATTTTCATTGGGCTGAATTTGTCCAGTAAGGCTGCAAATATTTAGCTCAGCTAGCAAAATTACTCAATGGCCATTATTTCTTCTACAGTAAAAGCTAAACTGATCGCCACCTTTCAGACGGGCTACAAAAACCAAACACATGTTTACAACACAGCTGTTCCAAGAGATATACTGTATATGAAAATTCCTCAGAAGCTCAAGTGGGGAGATCATATACAGTTTGTCAGTATGTTGCCGAGACAGCATCATTTTAGGCAACTGGGTCGTAATAGCCCATAACAGAGCTCACCTGTTGTCCTGCAGCCGGTTTCCGGAGTGCAAGAAGCGTGGTGGCTCAGAATATATTGGCAACATAAGTACTTTTGCTTGCCCATTGAGAAAATAAATATTAGGCAGCAATTGACCAATCAATTGTGCTACTAAGTTGTAAATGCAAACAAACATGAGTGTATAAAGAAATTTAAATACAGTACTCTCTACAAATATCATTTGTTACACACACAGATCACATTAACGTGATGCATCAAATGAACAAATCCTTTTTCAACTCTTCAACTCTTTTACCCTGTCGTAGCTCAGTCGATTAAGGCAGTGTCTGGGATGCTCCCGGACACAGGTTCGAATCCTCGTCACAGCCCTTGTGGATTTGTTCAAATATCATTTGTCTTCTAACAAAAAAATAAAAAGGAAAAATCTTTATTTTTCTGAACAAGTAATTCTGGTGCACATAACTGATACTTACATTAAGTGTTCTCTCCAACTTGCCAGTGGAAGTAGAGAAGCAGTACAAGACATGGTCCTCACCAACACAGAAGATCCACTCTCCACGGGGTGAAACGACACATACAACAAAGTCACCACCCTCTCGTTTACCAGAGGATAGAGAACGCACAGTCTGTCCCTGAAAAAAAAAGTCATTGGCAATATGTGAATATGTATGCTACAAGTAATATACTGGCAGACGCACACAGTGTGTGTGTTTTTGTGTGTTTGTTCTCTGAATGTGTGTGTGTACTATGTAAAAACAATGTATTTGTTTGTCAATTTGTAGCTGCAGAAATTACAGTTACTGCATTAAAAAATTTAACTTTATAGAAAAGTGCACGAGTGTTGTTGAATTAGTTACACAATTGGTATAAATATCTTACCTGCATATTCATGATAGTTACAGTGTTGGAGCGATTGCACACTACAATATGGTCAGGATTCTTTGGGAGAATATGGACTGAATAAACAGGGAGATCAGCTGAAGTGACACCAGCTAATGATTTGAAGGTTGCAATACACTCTGTAGTTTTCACTGACCACACTTTCACAGTCCCATCAGATGATGCACTATTAAAAAAATAAATACATTAACAGACATTAATAGATTTAAACAAAAACACAAACACAACAGCTGTTCATGAGAAACAGCAAGAGAGCTCAAGAGAGAGTTCTCTCTACAGAGAAAACCAAAATACACACACACAAAAAAGAAACTTAAAGCTTAATATCTAGCTTAAACTATAGTCATTTTTTTTATAATATCTAACATTGTTACATAATATTGTTCCTGTATTTTCTTCATGATGATGATGATGATGCCTCTCCACTCCATGAAAATGAGAAATGGAGCAATGATATAGTATGTACTGAACATAATTTATTATTTATATCACCAACAATGTTGTAAGACAGGTGTTTTTCTATGTTATATAGAAATTTGTGTCACTCTTACTACAATTATTCCTTGTACATTTGATTATAAATGGTTTTAAAACTTTCCAGTGGTTTAAGCATACACAACCGCCTCCTACAGTTAATTCTACATATCTACACCAATTATTTGTTATTTCTCATTTGTGAGAGAAACTAAATTGACTGAAGCACTTTAAAAGATAATGAGCTACTGAAAGATATACAAATTAAATATATATACAGAGATAACCTATGACTATAATAATCTAGTGACCAACCTTATAATATTATGACCATCTTGAGTAAAGGTTGCCTGGTTCACGAAGGACGAATGACCACGGAACTCTTTTAAAGTCTTCCCAGACTTCAATCCATGTATTCTAGAAGAAAAACAGCTTTGATTACAAAACTAATAAATTCACTTTAATGAGCCTTGCATTCAAGGACCCAATTAAATAACTTGGTGATAAATTACCACAGAAGACAACAGGAGTAATCTCTAACTATTTCTTCAGTTACATACCTGTCCACACCTGTCCATGTTACATACCTGTCCACAGACAAGCAATATCATAAATTTGGAACATCTGCATTGCAAAATCATAAACACATGTAATTCTGCTCATGCTCATTCATTTACTCTCTCTCATATGCTTAGGACACTTAAAGTTTCTGTAGTTTGTTACACATTGGATAATAAGTGAACAATGTTTTGGATAATAATTGATCAGCAATCATAAATTGGGGAGGCTTCCCAGTCCTCTTAGCCAAATCACATATGGACACACAACATACTTCACACTGATAAAGCTACATCATCAATATTTATCTCTGTTTTGGCTACTTAAATATCAAGCTACATCCGACACACTATCTCCATTTCATAAGAATAATCACCACCATCATACAGGCACCATCTCCAACACTGCCTTGATTTTAATATTTGAGTATTGCAACAATTAGCTTAATTTTATTTTATTTTATTTTATTTATATATATACAAGAAGGTACATTGGGTAGTACAGTATTTACATTCTTGTAAAGCCACTAGTACGCACAGCGTTTCGGGCAGGTCCTTAATCTAGCAGATAATTTTAAGTAGGTAATTTCAATCAGAATTGATAAAAGATAAAGATACATTACAAGAGAAAAATCTTCACAAGAGAAAATACAAGAGAAAAATACAAGAGAAAATACAAGAGAAAAATACAAGAGAAAAATCTTCATGGTTGACATCAAGTTATTTCAAACGCATTTTATTTTCAATTGCTTTTAATGGATATTAAAATGGAAGAACGCATTAGCAGCACACCAATGTTTCATACATTTGTAGATATAAAAGAACCTTGATATTTGCAGCTTTGGTTAGAATTAGCAGCACACCAATGTTTCATACATTTGAAGATACAAAAGAACCTTGATATTTGCAGCTTTGGTTAGAATTGGTAGCCCTATATATATTTTCATTCAACCTTTTATTATTTACACCTTAACAAATCAGTCAATGAACAGAATGAAACAACAATACATAATATTACTTTACTGGATACTAAAAAAAAAAAAAAAAAATCTGCAGGCAACACCATACACTTGACCTGCACAGGTTCTATTCCAGCCACCACCGAGTCTGTTTTGTATCAACTTGTTCCTCCGTGTAGAGTCATGCTTACACATGTGCAGGTCCCTCTACACTCCCCACACACACACACACACGTTTTCCCGTATTCTCAACACCCGTAAGTTCAATTACAAGAGAAAACAAGCACTCTCACTATGGTGTTTCACAAGACATTTGATCTCTGACTACCTCCCTATACTAATAATAATGTATAGACCATGTAATGGTACTTATTACGCTCATTATTTTAGCAATTTAAATGAAACCTTGTACTGACCTTAATGTGTTATCAAAGGATGTGGACATAACTTGACTGTTGTCTTTATTAAATGCAAGCGATGTTACGCCTTCAGAATGTGCTCTTTCAATTTTCCGTAAGCATTGGCCAGTGCTTACTCTCCACACCTGTAGAGTAACATGTGCACTGATAAACATACTAAAATACAGTCAAATATAATACTACTGTATACAGTTGTGAATATGAGTGATAACCAATTTTAAGCTTACAAAATACAGCTCAAGCTAATGCACAAAGAAATCACATTGACGTAATGTATCGGCGAGTAAATCGGCAGAAGCCACAAGGAGGATTCGAACCTGCACACTGGGAGCAAACAAGCCTCCCCGTAGCTCGTACTGATTTTTTCAAGCTCATGATGTTCTTGATCTTGTCCAAAGGACCAAGAATAGATCTTGCCTCAATGTAAGATTTGAGTGATTTAGATCTGAAAATGTTTAACAATCCCAGTACACAATCTAAAGTAAAGTACAGTAGGATAAAGTAACTTTTATCCTGTTATTATCCATCATCTTATGGTCAAATACATTTAATAAAACATACATACCTTAACTTGCCCTCCTTGTGAGCCACTTGCCAACATCTCAGAGTCCCTACTGAAGGCCAGACTCAAAACAGCTGCTTCCATCATCATATACGAATCTTTTTCTTGGTACTTCAAATCTTTGCGAATCTTACCTAACACAAAAAGAAAAAAAACTATCACCACCATGACTCCATTGCCCACATTCATGAGTAGGGAGGCCCTTAGCCAAAGAAAGTGGAAGAGAAGTGTACTAAAAAGAATTAAAAAGATATTCTATGGCAACCTCCCACACCACTTTTTATATTTACCAGCATCACATGCAGCTAATACTACCACAATCCACAAAATTATCCACAGCAGAATCTTGGCTGTTTAACACATTAGGTGTTCAATACTTGTACTATGTGATTTCCCACAAATAAAATATTGTATTCATCATACAGTTAATGATTCCTAACTGCTGCCTCACATTCTTTTTCACATGCTTTGTTCTTAACTTCATGCAAAATAAATAAATAAATAAATCACTAATATAATCTAAATAAATAAATCCCTAATTTGTGTTGGCAAATAATCCAATCAATCACTCATCCTGGGAATTCAACCCCATCAACAAATTCCAGCAATATATTCATACTGATTCAACAGAGAATTTTCTTCTCTCCCAATTATTATTATTATTTTCACTACATTCATTTTCATTAGTCATCTCTCTCACACCAATTAACCATTAATAATCTTAAACATTCTTCTTACATACTTAACCACAAAATAATCTCACCAGTTGTGAAGTTCCACACTTCTATGATGCCATCAAAGCTTCCAGTGACAAGGTACTGGCCATCGGGGCTGAAGTGTGCACTCTCTACATGGGCTTTCTGGGGGAAACGTATGAAACGTGCTTGTTGCGTAGGTACCTTCTCATCCTCCTGTTCCCTCATGGCTGCCTTACCACGGAATAAATCAATCTGAGTGCCTGAAAGTCAATACGTTTGTGAACCGTCAAAACAGTTTTCTCAGTACATTCTTTTATTTTACCAGTAAAGTGTCAAAATTGATGAGCCATCCCTCGTTTTGAAAATTCATAATCTATCCTATCATTTTCAAGGTCGAGGACACATGTGCCGTATTATGCTCTTTTAAATATTAGATTAAATATTAAATTTTTAGATTCATTTTATCATTTCCATTTTAAGAATAGATCTGAATTTCTTATATCCAGTGACCACTTAAAAGATGTTGGAATTTCTTCAAGCTGATCATCATACAGTAAATTGTCATCTACACTTCTGTGGAAATAAACATTCCATTCACCTGGGCTCTAGGAGACTTGAACCACGAACCCCACGCGTGTGAGGCCGAAACTCTATCAACTGAGCTATTGAGTAGTCTTAATAAGCAAAGTTTCCAGAAGCAGCAGCAGCCTGCTGCCAAACTGGAATTTTTTTTACTTTCCCTGACTACTACTGAAGCTCCAAGGAATTGGTGATCCACACCCGCGTCATAAATTGTCATCCACACTTCCGAGGAAATAAACTTTGATAGAGCTTCAGCCTCACATGCATGGGGTCCACGACTCAAATCTCCTAGAGCCCAAGTGAATGGAATCATACAGCATTTCATGAAAGTCTCATGCTAAACAAATTCTTAAGAATGCAGGTCCCCAGGTGTATGGTTCTGGTACCACACACACTTCATAACATTACAGTACAAGGCCTCTGCCTGGTCTTGCATGGCCTAATGGAAACCACGATCAAAATTGGGTTCGTCCATAGAGGATCGCAGACTATCCAAAATGATAAAACCGCCCAGAGTTATCTATTGCCAGCAGAGATAACACTATTTTTTATTTTTTTTTACACAGATGAATACAGGAGTAGACAACTTTTAAATCTCGAGCAGGTTTAGTGCTTTTTCTTGCTATAGTTCACCTTAAGCTTTATCCTACTAGTGTTTCCTAGAGAATGACCTACCAATCATTGACAACCATGTCCTCAATTAATGCCAAATCAAAGGGTGAACAGTTAAAGATCAGTACCAAATCGACCCTTCCTGGCCAAGGCTCAAACTTGACTGAAACTACCATCGAGGCGTGCATTGAGTGTGGTACCCCCGCACCACAAAGGCTGTCACTCATACATTGCTGCTTTATGTTGGCCGCCACACGGTAATATATATTACTATGCATCCCAGTCAATGTACTGGACTTCAAATAAAACAACATAACATTGTGTATCCTAAAAACTAATGGATGGGGTTAAATTCCCGAGCCAATTATATGTATCTGTAACCTTTTTCACTACTGTTCACAGGATGGGCATGAGGTGCATAATCAATGAACTAAACAAACAATATAGTCCGACTGTCAACATTCAGTGGCCCCCAAAATACAAGTACAGTAACTGAAATATTGGCTGGTAGATTTCAGTTCTTGGTCATTTGTATTTTGAACTTATCCTGGCATACTTGGTACCCATAAGAATGTGCAATATTATTAAAAAGTGGGTATTATATAGATTATAAAATACATGTTATATTGCTCATAATACTTTTAAAATGAGTGAAATAACTATCGTGTTGAGAACCAACACTAAAGTTGCCACTCTCATATAATGCACAGTAACTTCAATCAATAACATGGTAAGATATTTTCAGTAATACGTCTACAGATATAATTGTGGTCATTTCTTAGATAAGCTTCTCTTCAATTCATACCATAGCTTTGAAAAGTAAATAATGGCATTTTGTTATTTCACTTGGCACATCAATACCTGTCTCAAGTGGCCACTTGGCACACCAATACCTGTCTCAAGTGGCCACTTGACACACCAATACCTGTCTCAAGTGGCCACTTGGCACACCAATACCTGTCTCAAGTGGCCACTTGGCACACCAATACCTGTCTCAAGTGGCCACTTGGCACACCAATACCTGTCTCAAGTGACCACTTGGCACACCAATACCTGTCTCAAGTGGCCACTTGGCACACCAATACCTGTCTCAAGTGGCCACTTGGCACACCAATACCTGTCTCAAGTGGCCACTTGGCACACCAATACCTGTCTCAAGTGGCCACTTGGCACACCAATACCTGTCTCAAGTGGCCACTTGGCACACCAATACCTGTCTCAAGTGGCCACTTGGCACACCAATACCCGTCTCAAGTGGCCACCAACAACCTTATTCACAAAGTATAAGAACATAAGTCATACAACTAACCAGGTGGCAATAATCCTTGGTGTTGCTGCCATTTTAAGGCCTGTCCCAGTAGAGCCAATAAACGTGAGGGAGGTACCACTGAAACCTCGCCAGCGAGTGCAGCTGCAATAGCAGCTCTGCGCCGTTCTTTTGTTACACCCTCCGGATAGGCCTCACGAGGATCAAAGTATGAACGTGCTATTAAGTTTTCCAAGTGAACATACCTGAAAGAGTGGTAAGGTAAGATAATTATCTGGGGGTTGTGCTAAATCAGTGCGACTATATAGCACATAGAAGGACTGAGGACAAGGACCTGGGATAGAACAGAAGTAATGAGTGGTGCCCAATCCCTTAAGCAATCGGGGATTACTGTATTAAATATTGAATACAATGAAATGTTTTCCTGGTGGGTCTGAAATAACTCTCAATTCCCTTTATACTTGGGGGTTATGGGGCTCTGGACAGGCAGCTCCGGCATGAGAGGGCAGGCTGGTCGCAACTGCAAGTGACTGGAATGGTGGTCAGACACTACCACAATGCTGTCATGTTTACCCACGGTTGCCTGATTTCTTTTAAGCAGTCACTTTATTTTGTTGTGTTTATGAGTATATGATGGGTTTATCCCATCATATACTTGTGAATCTTGTGAAAATCTGAATCCTCACAATCTTGTGAAAATCTGAATCCTCACAATCTTGTGAAAACTCTGCAATAGCTGTTTTTAAGTTTATAATACCTAAAATAACTGATTAAAAACCAAATATGTAGAAATTAGTTTAGTAAAACATTCTGAACAGAAAATATTGCAAATGCCATGCAACCATTAGTAACTTTTTTTTTTTTTTAGAAGCAAAAATGATAGGAAAGACACCAAAACATGTCCTTCAATTATGTACTCTTGAGACTTTTCCATTTTCCATTACATATTGTCTGAGCTCCTCCTCTTCCCTTATGCTTGGTGCCTTACTGTTATTCTAAACATTTTGCCTTCAAGGAAAAATTAATTTGTAATCATTCAAATCCCAGATTCAGCTACTCGGCGAGAAACAATGGGCAGTTTCTTTCACCCTATGCCCCTGTTACCTAGCAGTAAAATAGAGACCTGGGTGTTAGTCAGCTGTCACGGGCTGCTTTCTGGGGGTGGAGGCTTGGGTGAGGACCGGGCCGCGGGGACACTAAAGCCCCGAAATCATTTCAAGATAACCTCAAGATAACTAATTTACAAACCTGTCATGCATCATCGGACAAGCTATTGCAAAGTATTTACAATAAGCTACAAAAATTTGATTGAGATGTGTTTTATTGATACCCTTTATCAAGCTGGATCACATCATATTCTGTTAAGGTGCTTGTGAGAAAAATAATAGATACTCTCCAAGGTCAGTTTTATTCATCATTACCTTGTTTCCCCACCTTCATGGAGAGGGGAAAATATTAGCCTGGGAAAAATGAGCATTGAATGTAGTGAAACTCTTTTGTCTGTAGCTCCTGATTTACATCAGGAGCTACAGAATCCTGACAGTAAATCACACCAGGCCTCTGAGATCTACCCAAGTCTACCAGGACCAGAATCTAAGCTCTCTACAAGCCAAAGGAACTCAGAAGCTTCGAGCAACTTTACCCATCCCACAATCAATGGTAAACAAGGCCTAAAAACTATACATAAAGGTCAGCAGAGTGCATTGACCCATGCAAATAGATCAAGCTGCTGATTTGCTGAAAGAGGTAGAGATTTGGGAAGGGACGAGGAGTGGGACAATGAGCTAGAAGGGTGAGAAACCAGGGCTAAATGAGCCACATGGGAGCCAGGAGGAGTCAGCCCATATACATCTCCAACCTGGAAAACATGTAAAGTAGCCAGATCACGAGTTGATCCAGATTTTCATTGATTGCAAAACCTTGTCCATCAGCAAAATTTGACTGTTATTTGGATGATTATGTTATTTGGAGATCGATCTTTGACAATCGACTTGAGAATGGTCTAGGACGGACCGAAACGCCATCGTCCCTTCACCTTCTAGTGTGTGGTCTGATCAACATGTTATTTGGAGACTCAGATTTGGAGGTTGCACTGTGTTTAAAAATGTACAGCACATTCAGTCTAAAATTTCAAACTTCAAGTATCAAGATTCAATTTAAATCCATTTTTATTTACGTAAATATTTGTGCTGCTCATGATTTTTATTTAAATGAAATTTGAAAACATAATAAGAATTTAGAATGCTTAGAACAAGTTAACTAAAAGGCTAAACAAAATGTCAGAAGGCCGAGTAACATATCAACTACAACACCAATTGTTCAAACTGAGCACTTACAGAGATATGTCACAGCTATACATATGGAAACTTATTGAGCGATTGAATAAAAAATGGCATTACCTTTCAGGCACAGTTTGTTTCAACATGATGAGAGGATCAGTGTTGCGCAGGACAGACTTAGCAGCTCCTAGTTCACGCAGCTCAATCAGCTCCAGAACAACCTGTTGGTCATTACTGGTTAACATTATTCATTACCTAAATCTTATATATAAACAAAAATATCAATTAATCATGCGTGATATTTTCATGAACATATAACTTGTCACACTGAAAAATGCTCATATTCCAACATGAGGTACGGAGAAAGCATTAAGCACTGATACAAATGTCAAGTTTGAAACACTAGATTAGGAGACAATTTTATTGGTAAATAACATTCCATTCTTAGGACAAAACCAAATTTAAGAAAGTCCTTATCAGAGTGAAACATCACATACTGTACTAATACTGTCTTCTACCAAATTGGAATTTAAATTCTATAACACTACATTAAATATAGTAGTTATTAACATCCAAATAACTTGGGACTAGCATAAGGATAACTATGGTTATCAGGGCAGGAAGGAGGTGAGGTACAATATACCTCATTAAATATTGCCTGACATTAAAAGACATTCAATGATGGGGCCTGACAGCTGAGTGGACAGCGCTCGGGATTCGTAGTCCTAAGATTCTGGGTTCGATCCCCGGCGGAGGTGGAAACAAATGGGCAGAATTTTTTTCATGCTGATGGCCCTGTTCACCTAGCAGTAAATAAGTAACTAGGAGTTAGACACCTACTATGCGCGGCTTCCTGGGGATTTGTAATAAAAAGAAGGCCAGCTCGAGGACCGGGCCGCAGGGACGCTAAGCCCTGAAATCATCTCTAGATAACCTCTAGATGGTGTGTGGAATATTATACTTTCATCCTCATCCTTTTACATTATTTTTTGTTCTATAGTGCGGTTTGAATGAATTTTGTATGTGATTATGCTTTTGTTTTGTTTTTGTTTTTACCATAGTGCAGGGGATGCCACTTGCTTTCATTGAATTAAAGGTTCAGACAGTAAGTCACAGCAAAGTGGCTCAAAATCAGACACCCAACCTATAATTCATTTATTTTCATATTTGTGAGTTGTGTCTCGGAACATGTTGTTTACTGAGGCTAACCGAGACCGATGTACCTCAATTTTGAGATTTGCTGTGTTGTGTATAGTCTTTACTATAAATGAATTAAAAACTGTAAATAAACAATGAAAAATGAAATAGTATTTTAACTCAATTTTTTTTTACACAGGTGGGTACAGGAGAAGATGTCTTTTGAGTACAAACTAAAGGATAAAGCTTTGAGTATGATGAAATGCCCATTTCTGGGTAGTACCTTGGTAGCTCCCATCAGCTGATGTCACCACCAAACACAAGACACTAGGCTCTTGTAACTTGATGGGATCACAGATCAAGCCACTGCCAAGATAAAACCCCTAAAACCAAGAGATATAACAAAACACTTAACTATCATTAACTTTTTTTTAAACAACTAATTAGCAAACAAATCTTTGAACTAAAATAATCCCCACTAATCCATCTACCAGATGACAACACACTCAGTGCTGGCAACTGAGACACAAGGGCTGGGATGGGGAGCTACTACCGAGGTGCAACCCAAAAGAGAAATTACATTACATTCAACGCTTTTTTATGGATTTCCACCTCTTAAAATTTTTCCTCGGCTTATTCACCATAACCCACCAGAGGGGGACTAAACTATCCATAACAAGCAGAGCCAAGTAGAGTGGGCCTGACACCAGAACCATAATTCTTAGACACATGATAAGTCATCAAAGGACCACATAATGCTAATGTGAGGACTAGGAAGATCAAGCAAGTAGCAAGCTACAAGTACCCTGAATCTCCAGAAACCCAGGTTCGAAAGTCGGTAGCAGACATAGCAGACGATTATAATGCTTATGTAGCAAATTTTCTTATGTTAGGAATTGTAGGGTTGATATGGAGCCGACTGAGCTTGACATCCCTGCTGATAAGCTGGGACTGCCAAACTTTTAAACAGCAGTATAGAGCAAGGATTCAAGAACAAGATGCCAGATGAAAAAATCTCCCATAGCCTGCAGGTAATTATGCACCACTTCCACCAGGCAAAGCCTGTGATGCATTGACTAACCATGCCTCAATCAGAGAGGCACACACTGAAAGGCCAAAGGCTCATCCATTACTAGTAGGCATCTGGATCCTCACCACACAATACCCAGGATCAAAGGCCCATGACTAATCTGACAAAAGGTATGCAGCTCACTAATACCATGTCTAAATGCTAAGATCAACAAAAATTCACACATCAGCATGCAACTCTCCAATGAGAGGGCACCCTTAAAGCAACAGGAGAATAAAAATATTAACACCTTATCCAGTGATCACTGTGAATTCAGAGGAGGATGAGCTGTACAAAAACAGAAGAATGTTCACACCAGCTCAAGGAATGGAGGTGAAGACAAATGCTAATCATACTCAAGGACAGGCGCTACCAAAGTTCTCGGATATGAAACTAAAATATCTGGCAGCATGTGGTTGGTGCTCCTGAAACAACTGTCAAAAACAACATAAAAAAATTAAAATAATCAGAAATGACAGTGACACCTGCCAGAGAGAAGAGCAGACAAAATACCTGCCAAACCACTTCACATTGCTGCTTAAAAGTTCTATGGAAGTGTGATGGCCAAATGTTCGACAACTGCCTCCCACACATGAAGGTAAATGTGTCTTTTTGGTCACTGATCACATAAACAAGTCTTCAATGGACTTAGTAAAAGTAATATGATCTGGATTTGGGAACTCTGGGTAAGCATGGGGCTGCCACCTGATCATGAGTGGCAGGTTTTGGCAAGACAAGCTGTAACAGCAGTTGTGGAGCCTCACCTGATAGTTATGTTAGGATTTGACATGGTTTTCATTCTTTATGGATGTACCTTTTTAACAGTCATTATAGCTTGGAATGAGCTTTTCTCCACTGGCTTCAGCACCTTGAATGACCATGCAGGGCCATTTTAAAATATCTGCACAACACCAATGCCCAAATGTCAACTTGTCTGACTACTCATGAACCCTGTCTCTGACACAGAAAATTCTTACCTTTGAAAGTCAATGAATGTGAAAGCTCAGATATGTGACTGTGTGTCATGAATCTGAAATAGAGTCCCATCAAAGTAAATCAAGCATGCAAAGAACATGTATGTTTATGTTTCTATACTGAAGATGTGAAACTTTTAAAATGCTTACTTTTTCAGCATTAAACACACACACATAATAAACAAAGTTTACTGCATAATACTTTCAATGTAATCCCATTTTCTACCTTACAATACCACCAGTCATAACGTGTAAAGTACAGTACTTCAAATACATACCTGCTCATATAAATCTATTAGTTTCTTATCAGGAAGTTTGAGGGTTTGGATAGCCTTGAGTACAGTATCCCAATGACCTTGGTTAATGTCTGCCATGAAACTCTCAACAGAGTCAACAGTATTGAGGGTGATTGAAGTTTCCTCCTGCAGGGCACGCAGGGTTCTCCCAAGATTGTTCTCCTTGAGATACTGCTGAATCAGACGGATGACACTGCCAAGATAAATACAAATAAAAAGTGTCTTTGTATGCAAAAAGGAGACTAAGATTGGCATTTTAAAAACATTTTAAATGACCTATCTGCATTAAAATATAGGAGGAGCATCAGTATTTAAAATCTTTCTGTAGAAGAGATGAAAATATCTCAACCTTTCAACCCTGTCACTACACAAGGTGCTACTGTCCTTTTATTAAGGTAGGGCTATCGATAGTAAGGTGGTGGTGGAAGTTGGGGTTTATGGAGTTGATGGGGGGTTTCTGGAGTTGATGTGGGGTTTCTGGAGTTGATGGGGGGTTTCCTGGAGTTGATGGGGGGTTTCCTGGAGTTGATGGAGGGTTTCTGGAGTTGATGGGGGGTTTCTGGAGTTGATGGGGGGTTTCTGGAGTTGGGTATACAGTGGAACCACGAGTAACGAACGGCTCTATCTATGAGCATTTTGAGTAACAAGCGAGCCACTCGCAGCAAATTTGTCTCTATTGACGAGCTTCACCTCTATTAATGAGCGAAACCACATGGTGCTTCCTAGCATCTCGCTGGTTCTCACAAATTCTCAGACGCCTCCGACGCCAGTGTTGTTGTTGTATCGCGCACGACAAGCATCCCTCTGCATTTATTTGCACATTTCTTTTTTTTTTTTGTGGTTTTGTGACTACAATTTGTGATGCACGAAATCGTCGTCAAAAAAACTGCTTGCTAAAGATAGTGTTGTTAAGAGGAAGAAAGAGACAATTACTGTGGATTTGAAGAAGGAAACTATAGCAAAGCATGAGTTCATTATGCCCGAAACGCTTTGCGTAATAGTGGCTTTAGGCATTGTATGTACTAGCTATACCTATAAGTCAAACAATCCTTGTAAATATTTATTGTATGTATGTACCTTACCTAAATAAAATTGTATTGTATTGTATTGTATGAGCGTGGTGTCTGTGTGACTGATCTCACAAGGGAGTATGGCAGGTCTTCAACAATTTGCACTATTAGTAAGGGGATGAGGAGGTAAGGGAGGATGCTGCCTCTTCCAGTGAGATCAGGGAAGTGTTGGGAATGTTTGAAAAGGTGACTGCTTTCTTGGAAAAGCATCACCCTGATAAAGCAGTGACAACCCGGTGTGTGAACATGTTTAACCCTTCAGTTGCGCATCGCATCATATGATGCTTTGACCGACTTGCAGTAAATTGCGCATCGCATCATGTGATGCTTTGGAGTACTACGCAAGATTTAAACGGCCCGCGGATACACGGGGTTCACCACACCTTCATCAGGGCTCTTGTAAACAGACGCCATTTAAAAAAAAAATCGTGGGCCAAACTCCCGGGTGTTAGGGGCCTCAGTATTGAGTCAGCTACCAAGCCTGACGCACGCAGCATGAGCTCACAGCACTGCTGTTCAGCTTGTGACCACATCATCGCCAAAAATGCCATAATATACTTGTTCATGCTATTATGTAGCGATGATATTATTACAGAAGACCCCTGACTGTGATAAAACTGACCAGGGTTCTGATAATAGCAGGATTGTGGTGATATTTGGCGCTGTGCGCCATGGAGGGAGGAGTAATGCTGTGGGAGGGAGGATGGTGGCATTGTCTTTTGAGTGTGTGTGGCCACCTTTTATTGACTGCACTCACCATACCAGCTTAGTGGTTCACTGTGGTGAACACAAATGTAGATACTTATATATAAAGTGTGTATAGTGTGAGATAACAGCGAGAGTAGGAGGTTGGGAGCCGCCATTTTGGTGAGGGTGGAGCGTCGTCTGCAGGACTTATCATGTTGTTTACTGATGACCACGATGGTCTTTGGGCACCATACCAGTTTACTTGTACAAGTATGGTGAATAAAACAGGTAGATATTTATATATAATGTGTGTATATAGCGTAATAACCCCACAAACAGTATTGTTGTAGGAGAAATATTAGTGCGTCTGGCCTTGAAAGCGGCTGCCACCAGCTGACTGTGTGAGTAGCTACGTCTCTCTGCCTTTACTCACCATACAAGCTTAGATGTACAGTTATGGTGAACAAAACATGTAAATACTTATATATAACGTCTGTATATAAAAGCAAAAACAGTATAGTGGGTGGAGAATGGTGGCAAGTCAGGTGAGGTGAGGTGAGGGAGGGAGTGGCAGCCAGTGGCAGCCAGTGGCAGCCAGTCACTGCCTGCCACTGCCACTGCCACTCAGCATACCAACTTAGTGGTTTGTCATGGTGAACAAAACATGCAGATACTTATATATAACCTGTGGATATAGTGTAATAACCGACAAAGTATTTGTTCACTGTTTGATGAACATAATTGAATCAACAATATGCACACCATATTTTTGAGTACAGCGATGATTCACTCATTTTATTATATAAATATATCACACTACACACTATTGAATAATATTACAGCAAAAAAACTACGAAAAATCAATCAGAGACATTGAAATAATTAGGTAATTATCTCTTTGTGGAAACTCTGGCCTGACAGCTGGCGATCAACAGACCGCCTGGGACGCACGCTCAGTCAGCGCCTGATTTTTGCCACACTTCCCCGCCCTATAGTGGGCAATATATGCCACTTACGATTTTTTTATTATTTTTCCTGTGATCAGTGAACACAAATTAACAGGTTAGGAAGAAAAAAAAATATTTTTTTTTTTTTTTTTTTTTTTGGTATGCGCCTGTGGGTGTCAAATGGTATATAGCTATGCGCCATTTAAGGGTTAATGACAATTTGCTGTCTCGTTTTAGGGACATCCTAAAACAAAGACAAAAGCAATTGTCAATAGACTCATTCTTTGCAAAAATAAAGACCAGCAAGTGATAGTGAACTACAACCCAGTCCCAGTGGGGTGAAATTCCCAAGAAGAGAGAGGCCGCCTAATTTAGAGGTGGATTCTCCTTCCACACCATAACCCCTCTCCTCCTTCCCACCTCCCCATCGTCTCCCTCAAGCCAACAATGACTCTTCATAAGGTAAAGTACACATGAAAACAGTAAAACAAAACATTTATAATTACATGTGCAGTATTATATTTACATTATAAAATGTCATACAAGTATGGATGTTTTTAGGAGTGGAACGGATTTAATTTATTTCCATTATTTTAAATGAGGAAATTCGTTTCTAAAGACGAGTTTTTCCACACAACGAGCTAGGTGCCAGAACGGATTAAACTCATTAATCGAGGCTCCACTGAATTTTGATTATTATTGTTCAGAGGTACTGTTTTGGGATTATGTGTTAATCAGTTAGTTGGTTACTTGGGTCTGTGGGTTGAGAGGTGGATGGGAGATGGCTGAGGAATGGGTGTGGGTGTTATGTGGGACATCTGAATTTGAATACTGTAGTATGAATAGGATGAGTACGTGATTGGTAGTACTGTAATGTGGTGGCTATGGTGATGTACTCCCATAGTTGTGCTTGCAGAGGTTGAGCTTTGGCTCTTTGGTCCTGCCTCTCAACTGTCAATCTATTGGTATACAAGTTCCTGAGTTAATGTGGGTCCAGGTATGTGCTTGAGGGGAGGTCCAGGTATGTATTAAGGCATTAAGGATGGAAATTTGATGGGTGTTATAAGGGATAATGATATAGGTTGCGGTGATTTTTTTTTTTTTTTTTAGTGACAATAGGGGGTTGCAGAGGTGGTGATGACGGGGGGCTGCAGTGGTAGTGACAATAAGGGTTGTAGTGGTGCATTTTTGAGTACAGCGATGATTCACTCATTTTATTATATAAATATATCACACTACACACTATTGAATAATATTACAGCAAAAAAAACTACGAAAAATCAATCAGAGACATTGAAATAATTAGGTATTTATCTCTTTGTGGAAACTCTGGCCTGACAGCTGGCGATCAACAGACCGCCTGGGACGCACGCTCAGTCAGCGCCTGATTTTTGTCATACTTCCCCGCCCTATAGTGGGCAATATATGCCACTTACGATTTTTTTATTATTTTTCCTGTGATCAGTGAACACAAATTAACAGGTTAGGAAGAAAAAAATTATTTTTTTTTTTTTTTTTTTTTTTTTTTGGTATGCGCCTGTGGGTGTCAAATGGTATATAGCTATGCGCCACTTAAGGGTTAATGACAATTTGCTGTCTCGTTTTAGGGACATCCTAAAACAAAGACAAAAGCAATTGTCAATAGACTCATTCTTTGCAAAAATAAAGACCAGCAAGTGATAGTGAACTACAACCCAGTCCCAGTCGGGTGAAATTCCCAAGAAGAGAGAGGCCGCCTAATTTAGAGGTGGATTCTCCTTCCACACCATAACCCCTCTCCTCCTTCCCACCTCCCCATCGTCTCCCTCAAGCCAACAACGACTCTTCATAAGGTAAAGTACACATGAAAACAGTAAAACAAAACATTTATAATTACATGTGCAGTATTATATTTACATTATAAAATGTCATACAAGTATGGATGTTTTTAGGAGTGGAACGGATTTAATTTATTTCCATTATTTTAAATGAGGAAATTCGTTTCTAAAGACGAATTTTTCCACACAACGAGCTAGGTGCCAGAATGGATTAAACTCATTAATCGAGGCTCCACTGAATTTTGATTATTATTGTTCAGAGGTACTGTTTTGGGATTATGTGTTAATCAGTTAGTTGGTTACTTGGGTCTGTGGGTTGAGAGGTGGATGGGAGATGGCTGAGGAATGGGTGTGGGTGTTATGTGCGATGGGGGTTGAAGTGGTGATGGGGGGCCTGCGGTATGTATGGGGGTTCTGAATGAGAAGGAAGGTGACTTGCGCTGCATACCGAGTGACCCAGTGCAACACACAATGCAGGGAGCAAGCTAGCTAGTATGAGTTGATAAAAGACAGGAAACTATCATAAAAATTTGCTAAGCCAGTATGACTACAAAGCATGACTTGGTAAACATACAAAATGACTTTAGAACAAGTTTACACTTTATACAAATAGCACTGTGCCAGTATTATGAACAATCATTCCTTCCAATTACCCACACTTTAAAAACTTATTGGGAGTCAGGCTAGATTTGGCTCTGATACATAAGCTAGGTTAGATATATAGAAACTAGGTTAGACTACGTGAATAACTGGACATCTTAATTTAGTCGCAAGTTAGAAAAAATTACAATTTAGCACTCCTCAGGTTAGGCAGGGAGTTATTACTCAGATGATTACCAACGCCCTCGGCCTGACAAGGATATATCAAACAACTAGAATACTCACTCCGCCGATTCAATTTCAATCGACATTGTGGTGTTCTAAGAGCCCCTCAACTCTTCTATACTCTTGCTACGTGGTGCAGTATATTCTTCTGTATCGCCACGCACAGTTGTTCTTGATGGTTAGTGCAGTTTGCGTGAAGGTTATCTCATATTGACGACTGTGAGTGACGGCCACGAAGGCAACACTGCACTGCCCCACCGTCCGGGCTCCGCACTCTAATTCAAACCTCAAATAAAGGTTGTTGTAGTTGTTATTATTATACAGGCACCGACGGGGATAAGCCGTATATGCCCTACCAATCCTCAGCAAATCTAAGCCAGCGAGGAATCAGGATGGGACGCCATTATCCCTGAAATACAACAGCTAACTTTTTGACCACCAGTGCACAGACGTCTCCAAAGGGGGAACCACTAGAAAAAGCCATAAAACCTTCATACAAAGTAAGTAAAATATGTGGTATCAATGACTTCCAGTCAAGAGGATGTTGATCTATGTTTCTCTCTGCCTGACGGAAGCGGTGGTCGGCTCGCGAACTCTCTTGACGGCGTCTGCGACTGGTGGGAGCCTCACTCTGGGCCTCATTTTCCCCCGGTGTCACAATCCCTTCGGAAAGTGCCTGGGGGACCAGAGGATCATCAGGGCTGTCTGTTGGAGCAGTACCTCCTGATCGATGGGTGTGTCGACGACGCCGGTGTTGGCTTCTGTGAGGAAAGGCAGGAGGGTGACGAGTGCTAGGCTCCGGCCGAGACTGAGCGTCCATGTCTGTATCCGTGGATGAGTTTCCGTCAGTGTCAAGGCTACCCAGGAGGGAAAATCGATTAGCAACCTGGGCGTATGTGGCATGTGACTGGGACAGGCAAGAGCGTCTGCTAGTTCCTACTTGTGAAGAGGCCCGACCAGGGGGAACCTGGAGGCGAGAAGAAGCGATAGGCTGATTGAGGGTACGCAACTTCTGGAACAGCTCATGTCGAGGTGTCCCCGCTGTTTTGTGATCGATGTCCAACTGGAGGGCCTCAAGATATACAGGGCAACTCTTAGACGTAACCTTATGATGGCCATGGCATAAAAAGCAGCGGGGTGCAGCAGAGCACCCACCGTCATCTCTGTCTGAATGGCCAGTTTTGCCGCAGTTTGCACACCGTGCTGTATTACGGCAGGTCAGGCGACTGTGGCCCAATAGATGACAAGCGTAACATCGTAAAACAGGGAAATTGTAGGGCTGAACCTGATACGAGGTCCTGTGTAGTGCCACTCGGTCAGGGAGGTGCCCATCGAACTTTACACGGACCATGGATGTCGGCCCTGCTGCTCCGCGAATCCTGGTAACTTACCGCCGAGGAGGAACACCGCCAAGGATGTTTGTTTACAGTGAGAGAGAGGAGCAAGTGTGGGACACGCTGCCATCTACCGGCGGGACCCTCAACCGCCTCCCTCACGCTGCCATCTACCGGCGGGACCCTCAACCGCCTCCCTCACGCTGCCATCTACCTGCGGGACCCTCAACCGCCTCCCTCACGCTGCCATCTACCGGCGGGACCCTCAACCGCCTCCCTCACGCTGCCATCTACCTGCGGGACCCTCAACCGCCTCCCTCACGCTGCCATCTACCTGCGGGACCCTCAACCGCCTCCCTCACGCTGTCATCTACCGGCGGGACCCTCAACCGCCTCCCTCACGTTCCATAGAAAACGTCTCGATATAGGGATAACTACTTATGGTTTAAAAAGACAGATTTCCTAAGTAATTATGTTGACGGGAGACATCTCCCGTCACGCAGGGTGCAGTCGCACCTCCACAGATCTCCAGTATAAGCTCTTAATACTGGTAATGGCTCAAAAGAGCCACTACTTACGGGCTATTCATGCCCGTGCCACCTTTTGGGTGGCTTAATCTTTATCAATCTGTAGCGAGTAGATTATCCCAATAATATACTCGCTCCAAATGCATTGTTAATAGTCCTGTCAACCTTTGGAGATGAATGAGGTGAGGCGTTGCCCGGGCAACACGGTGAGGTGTTGCCCGAGCATATAAGCAGCAGAATAGCAAACATTCACCAGAGTCTACTTTCAAATGTGGTCTAGAGCAGACACTTGCGAGATACTGTACCGACGCTCAGTGCGCTTAACTCACACCAAAGTATCACCTGTGTACTTCTGTATATTCGACCAAATATATATATAGTATCTTAGTGTCTGTGTTTATTTGTCACCATACTTTACGTAACAATAGAACCGTTACAAATCAATCAGTCAATCAGTAATTATTAACAGAAAGCCCCAAGCCGGGGAGCCTATGCAGTATGATTAATTCTTAAGTGTTTAACACGACAAATGGATTCTATGTTGGCGCCACATATTTCATTATTCGTATCACCCACTCACCAATTTAACACTAAAGACTAAAGTTTCATCAGTATATTCTACCAGAATTTATCTGAGGGCCACTAACATACTACTGGCCTCGACAAGGGCAGGACGCTGGCGGCTTGTCAAAGCTCCCCCTATTTTCCCCTGATGATTTTTTATAGTTAGATTTTTAAAATGTGACATTGTTTTGGCCTGTGGGTGAAGAAGTATCTGTTTTAAGTCCAATATTGTGGCTTGTTGAGCTTGAACCCGTTGTTCCTTATTTGTCTTACATCTGACCTACTGAAGAAATTGTCTGGATCAACATCCTCCAAACTGTTCAGTTCTATTCAAATTGTTCAAATCTATTCTCATATATATAAATAAATACTGTAATAAATATTCAATCAATTTGTAATACAGTACAGTATTATTTTGAACTCGTATTGTTACAATGTATGTATTGTTACCTGTAATGTTTAGTTTAAGGACCTGCCCAAAGTTAAGTAATTATCAAAAGAAGGCAAAAAGCCTGGGAGTGCTATTTGTAGGATTACTTGGAATATATAAATGTCATCCCCCTTATCCTCACTTGCAGTGCAGCTTTTTTACCCAAACATTGCATGTAAAACATTTAAAGTTCTACTAATTCCCTCAATTATATTTTCTAGTTATTTTCTGGCCGATGGTCAGAAGTCTGCCATTAGAAGTTACATTTTATTAATCCTCATGTAAGAAGAGGGAGGCCCTATACGTCTTTATTTCATCAGTGACATTATTGTTGTGATGCTGCAGTAATTACTGTACAAGCATTGTATATTTATCTATAAACAGTTTTACAGTTATATAACACTTAAAATGTTTGTATTTATTTATTTATTTATATATACAAAAGTTCTTACGTTCTTGTACAGCCACTAGCACGCATAGCATTTTGGGCAAGTCCTTAATCCTAATTTTCACACACACACACATCCCCCAGTATGGTTAGTAAAATTATCCACTTTTATATTTTATAGTAAGTTTATTGTATAAACTTAATTACTGTATATAGTTGTATAGATTTGACTGTAACAAATCAAAATGGTGCATAGGAGTGACTTCAGCAGAGAACACACTTGTGGGAAATATAAAATGTACAACGCACGCTTGTGGATCTCGGCCTTCACTCAACACAAATCCCTCTCGTAAACTAATACATAATAAATTAATCCATAAAGTTTTAGTAAAGTATATCCTAAAGGCAACTCTGGTATATTTTTACTTGTGAAAAATACTAGTCACGGTTTCTTGCAACACTATACAACTCATAATTCCATGAATAATAATTTAAAAATTTCTACATTGTATCACACTGGATTCAATACCTCATCAAATTTTCTATGTTGATGTATTCAATTCATATACACATAAAAGAAATACATCATATACATTAACATGACTTTCAAATCATCAGAAAAGCATGGTCCCCAAATGTAATACCACTGCTGATATGATCAGGAGATTTTTACTGTACTATAATACATTGTATCTTCTAATAACTGGGCAGAATATATGGCATCACTATGCCAACTGCACAGTTGGTGCTCTAGTACACGACATATTCGATCACTGTAATTCACGTTGTTCCTGAACGTGTAAACAATGAAATTCTTCGTCTTTTTTTTTTGTAAACAATGCAAAACTGTACTATTATAGTTTGAACTCTTTTTTTTTTTTTTTTTTTTTTTGCTTCAGGGAGGAATTATCAGTCAAATAGTGTGGCATAAATATTAGAGTAAAGTACAATTTTCAATTATATAAAATGCAAAGCTGAACTGCATTAATTATGGCATTTACATAATTGTTTGGAAAATTACAGAACTCTACTTTTGTACTTATACTGGACAGTTTATTAATGAGCATAAATTGTGTATAATGAACATTAATATTTAATTTGGTTTGGTAAAAGCTTTTACCGTTGACACTTGTTACACTGAAACCAAAGGTATCAAATATGAAGCCATCAAATTCCATATTCATATAGAAAGTCAGCAATACAGACTTTAAATTCCAAAGAATTCAGATGATTAGTGAAGGTAATTAAAAAGGTGGAGCAGCTAACATCTATCTAAAGTACTGTATATATAAGTAAAATGCAAAAAATATATATGAGAAGCAAAATATGAGGGTTCAGAACAAGCCACAATGTAGGACAGAAGACAAGGGATGTTTTTTCACCCATAGGGTTATAAACCCATGGGTGAAAAACCCAGCCCACCAAAGCTGTAAATGTTAAAACATTGCTACAATCCAACTGAATAAAATCATCATGACACATTTGACAAGCCACCGGCTTCCTGTCCTCAATGAGGTCACTAGCAAGATGATAGCCCTCAGGTAAAATCAAGCAAGAGCACAAGGGAGGCAGAGACTAAGGCTGCATTTCAATGGTTACAGTACTGTAGGAACTGAGGTCAATGGCTACTCATTCTGACATACAGTAATACATTCATGTGAAAAAACATACAGCAGCAATGTATGTTGAACAAGCTTCAGCTAATACATAAATTTGTTAGGGGTCATTTTGCTAGGTTTTAATACAAGCTTTCTAAAACTAATCCTGACTATGACTGATCTAACAGATCATAATGCATAAATTATAACATGTTTGATATACAGTACTGTGGATTTTAATCCACAGTATATCAAACATGTTATACTTTGAGTGGATTTTAATGACAAAAAATTCTAATTTTATGTTTAAAATATAAAACTCCTACTCCCCTACAGGCCTTAAACATCCACACATACCCATAAGAATGGAAACTGAACACCCAAATGAGCTAGAGTTATAATAACGTTTCAAAATATGAGAAGTGAGTGGAATGAACCAGTAAAGGTGGTAATGGCAGGAAACTCCATACAAAGATTGAAATGAAAATACTCTCCAATACAACAAAGCTCATGGGACTGGGAAGGAGGCAGGGAGGGAGGGACGGGGAAGTGATCACACTAGTTGAATGGTTAAGTGCCAGAGTCAAAAACTCGAGCTCATTCCCAATACAAACACAACTGAATAAACATACCTCAAAATAAATATTGCAAACTCACACATTCAAGAATGTCCCTTGTGCACTCAGATGGTACACATACAGTATTTAACATGAAAATGACAGTCACAAACAAAATTCATAATAAATGCAGGTGCACACTAGATTTCAACAAAAGATGCATTACTGTATTACAATAGATACAGTATTACAAATACAAGCAAAGGTAAGATCTGCATATGATACTCTTATTGTGCATTTAATTTTGGGAGTTAACACATACATCTTGTTAATTCCACACTGAAAAAGTAAAAGAACATATACAAATGATAGATCAGGAAAGGGTACTGTTGACATTCTCTCTAGTGAGACAAGAGTATCTCTTCCTGGTGACAAATGAGAAACTCTCCGGTGACACATGAGAAACTCTCCTGTGACAAATGAGAAACTCTCCGGTGACACATGAGAAACTCTCCGGTGACACATGAGAAACTCTCCTGTGACAAATGAGAAACTCTCCTGTGACAAATGAGAAACTCTCCGGTGACACTTGAGAAACTCTCCTGTGACAAATGAGAAACTCTCCTGTGACAAATGAGAAACTCTCCTGTGACAAATGAGAAACTCTCCTGTGACAAATGAGAAACTCTCCGGTGACACATGAGAAACTCTCCTGTGACACATGAGAAACTCTCCGGTGACACATGAGAAACTCTCCTGTGACACATGAGAAACTCTCCGGTGACACATGAGAAACTCTCCTGTGACACATGAGAAACTCTCCGGTGACACATGAGAAACTCTCCGGTGACACATGAGAAACTCTCCGGTGACACATGAGAAACTCTCCGGTGACACATGAGAAACTCTCCGGTGACACATGAGAAACTCTCCGGTGACACATGAGAAACTCTCCGGTGACACATGAGAAACTCTCCGGTGACACATGAGAAACTCTCCGGTGACACATGAGAAAGACTTTCTGGTGACCCATGAGAAACATTCTCTCAGACAACACAGGAAATGCATTTTCTCTGATAACACTGATGTAATATTCTCTATGGTGATACTGGAGTAACAATCTACAATACTGTACTTGGCAACATATATTTTAATAATATTCTTACAGTACTCAAGATATACTTAACTATACCTCTTAGTGTGATGCCACTTATGCATTATTTTAGTTTCCGGTTCTAAAATAGCAATCTATATGACACACGAATAATGTTCCGCTAGATTACACTCGAGATCAACTGCCGCTGTTGTCACGGGCCACGGCGCTCGGACAATAATCCATTTATTGACACTTAATTTATGACTTATCTGCGGATATTCAAGTATAGTCCCATTCTTTAATTTGAACATTTGGATGGCATTCTATTAGATATCACTCAAATACTATCCAATGCTATGGGATGATGATATGTCAGTTGTATTTGATACATTTCAACTATCAACACTTAGGTATATATTATATGTAGAAAAAATACACCAGAGTTCATAATTAGTTGTATGTGAGTCAGGCAAGACAACATAAACAATGTTAAGTCAGGCAAAGAATGAACAATATTGTAATATTTTACATGAGCGATAAATTACTAAACAGTACTGAATTTTAAAATTAATATAATGCATTACACTTGGAGAAAGTGCATAAAGCAAAGAATTATATGGTAACACTGTTCTGCATAAACAAACAAAAATTCTTTAAAAACATCAACATATAATATTCCTTAATTTGACCTCTAACTGCTTAAACGGTAAACAACATTCTCTTATCAAAAGGTTACTTACTAAATATATTTTTTTGTTACTAGAAACATACCATCAGAAAGTGGCTATACATTCATATTAAATTTTATAATGGCTAAGATATTACTGTACAATAAAAGCATTATATATATAAATGCAAAACCCTTTTGTAAAGGTAGTAAACAATTACACCAATGAGGCATTATATGGTAATTTTCCTTCTACAAACAAAAAACATTAGTATGCTTATCTCTACTAAAACTTATAAAATCAAACCTTGTTAATTTCCATCTTGTAAATTGTACATGAAATTTATGATCATAATTGGATAGTACTAAAAATGAGCTGACCACAGTAAGACAGCTGAAAAGCCTTGTACTATAATAGCAATTTGAGCTTAAAACTGCTTTTCAAAAATACTCGTCATTTTTACATCGCTCTCATATACTTTACACTCCCACATCACAACTGTCTGTTACATACACTTGATACTTAATATTTTTACACCTTACATTATGTACTGTAACTACTATGCACATCAATTAAACACAAAAAAAAGAGTTACACTATACATTAAATATTCAATACTAGGACACTGTGCAAAATGTTAATTTCTTGTCAAACTCAAACTGAAAAACAGTAATATAATGCTGAAAAAATGCATTCAATGGATTTGCCATATAAAAATAAATTTTGCATGAAATTCAACATTATATTGCAAGTAAAGCAAAATAAAATGAGATAATGTCAGACACAATACTGTACATAAATAATTTTCCTCGTCAGCCTGGCCATATCTCGAACATTTTAGTTGCATGTAGTGTGATCTAATTTCAGGTGCCTAGATTTCAGAGTCTATAATGTTTGCCCAGATCCTCTGGAAGTCAAAACAAAAGTTTGAAGCTGGTAACTGATGCCATTTGTCAGTGACAAGAAAGTACAGTATGACCTTACATTGCAGGTCAAAAACTGCCCAAAATCCTCTCAAAACCCCACATTCATTCACACTTTGGAACAAGGGACATAAATAACAAAGGTGACCATGCAAAAACACTGCCCTGCATCCAGAGGACAGAACACATAAATGACTCCTGCTGAATATTAAATATCCATGACAGCCAGAGAAAGAAGCTAGTACAACTCCCTATCCACCCCATCAATGCCAGTGAGAGAGACTTTGCCAAGGCTGAACAAGACAAGGTAATAGGCAGTAACTTGCAAAATAAGAAGAGGCAAGACAGAAAAGAACACACGTAAGATAACCAACGCAAAAGGTGAATGTCAAATGAATAGAACAAATGGAAGGCAAGGACACTCTTTTGAATCCAAAGAAGAGGCAGATCCCTAAAGTGAGAAAAAATTGAGTTTTGGGCGAGAATAGCCAGGAGAGCTAATTTAGAAACAACTGTATATGAACTCAAAGAATATGGCCCACACTTGGTTCCCAACCCAAGCAACTTAGGAAACAGCAGTTTGACTGGAAAAAAAAAAAAGAGGAAAGGATAAGTCCATATCCTCTAGGTCAGAAAGAATGTACCCTCTTCAAATGCTGTACAATCTGGAACTGATGCCCCAAAGACTAGAAACTTCCATGACTCAATGGAGGCAAACAGGTGCAGATGGCCGTGCTGCCCACAAAGCCAGAGGAAGTAGGCCCCGTCTATTTTCCACACCATTAAGATAAACAGAAGGAGAGAGATCAACAGCACAATCAGTCAACATGCCTTGAAAGGGAACACCACCAAAGTACTGTACATAATAATAATAATAATAATAATAATAATAATAATAATAATAATAATAATAATAATAAAATGCAGAAGCCAGAAGCAAGACTACTTACAGAGACCACCTCTAAAAGAGAAGGAAATTAATTGAACTACCCCTCCTGGAGGAGGCATTTGAATAACTGGGATGCAATCCAAAAGATGAAGGAGAGCAGAGCCCCCAGGAGATGGATGCACCGAAACATCAGTAAGACTTTCACAAAACCTGCAAGTGATTTTGAGACTGAACTGTTCTTAATTACCAATGACCCTCAATCTGTGCAATCTCCAAGTGCACCAATATAAAGATATTTGCGTTCAACACCAAAATCTTGAGCAGGATTTGGCCGTGTGCAAATTTTCAAAGGATTAATTTGATGGCATGTGAATTTTTTAAGTGAAAGTAAAGGTGATGCACTGTGCCACTCTCCTGTTACCCTCACTTGTCCCACCCTAACCTCTGTATCGTCCCAGATGCACCCACTGGTCAAACACCATGATTTTCCATGTGACTCACTACAACCATCTTACATTTTTGCATACTTTTGAATTACATTCCTGCATCATGCATCTTCCCAAGCATCCAGAACCTTGCTTAAAGAATCTATTGTAATTTAGTATAAACAGAAATACGTTTTATTGAAAGTGGAAAAACGTAATACAGGTATTTGAGGCCTCTGAAATCTAATCTATTTTTTCCTTCGCCTAAATTAAACTTATTCTTCACCTGGTTTTCCAAAAATACAAGCCTCATTAAGGTTGAGGGCTGACAGTAATCATTGCTATCACCGATTCCTATCATTCCAGGCCACTTATACATTATTACTATACAATGAGTTTTCACTATTCAATGACCATTTCAAATAAATTATCATAACTTTTAATTTATGTCTTCCTTAGATACTGTATACAGTTCCCATTACAGTACTGTACTACTAAAATAGAACAACTATAACTTCAAAAACCTTACTCGGATATAATCATTAAGTATAAATAATCATTAAACTAATAAACAGTGTCCAAAACCAGCGCCAAATTAATTTTGCAAAATGCTACCATTATCATTAAATATTTTAACAAAAGATTATTCTGAGAAACCATCCAATCAGTGTGATTAATGCAGTGGGAATCTTGGAAACTAAGGCCCCCCCCCCCCTAAACTTCTCACCTTGAAGATTTTATTATTTAGTTTAATGTGATTCAGTTAAATTTCTTATACTGTATTTTACCAAAACATTGTAAATTTATATACAGTAAAGTACACCGACTTGTTAATATAACAAAGCAGACTCTCACATTTGTCAGAAATAAATATTCTGCCTGCATGTTCAGGTACGAGGCATATATATATGAGCAATTATTTCACTCTTGTGACTTCAGTGGTTTGAGCATAAGATAACTGGCTTCTACTCAGCAAGACTTTGTATATACAGTACAGTATGTTGTATTTATGAATGTACATATAGTAAATGTATATATTGTATCCCTGTATGTATGTATTGTCATTCTGTGCAATTACGTACTGTAAGTGCAATTGTTAAGAGGATGAGAGCTACAGTTGTGGAGTCCTATGTTCCCCTATGTACTCGCTACTCTCTCCCTCTGCCTCACTGTATGCGTGCAGGTCCGAATGTGCATGCTGTAGACATGAATACAGTAGCAGTCATTTTTAATGCAAAAAAATATTTGTGTGTGTTTGGGATGTTTTACCCTCCTTGCTATAAATTGTATGTTGTATGTGTGATTTTTGTTGTGATTTGTGTTGAAAAAAAATTAGTCAATTAATGGCAAAAAAATGGTAAGTCTTGATATAAACAGAATCCTTCATAGTTTAGAATGGGCCCACATCCCATTTAGTTTGTTCTATTGAGGTTACACTTTATATACACCATATAAGTATTCATGGATATGTATACAGTACCTGTTAATTATGAAAGCAGATTTTACTTTTAACATCTTGATTAAAAATGGCTGCATAAATTATTTCACATCACATAGAATCTTTCTTAAGCTTTAAATTTGCATTATTACAATATACACCGTGGTTCAGTGGGGTGACAACAGGTGTTCAAATAAAAAACGTAAGTCTATAGAAATAAGATGGCTCATTAGAATGAATGAACCAACTACTGTACAAGAGGCAAGGTAAGTACGAGGAGAAAGAGCCAAGATATTATGACTATACTGTATATCACTTGCAAGGGATATGAGGAGGAGGAGGAGAAGCTGAATATGATGAAACAAAGGAACAGTAGCCCAACCAATTGGTTCATCAAGGATCAAATGCTGACTTGCAAGAATTAAGATCATTGTTATATCAACCAGTCCAAGTAGATGGGGATCATCAAGCATTACATGAGACAACAAGTTTGGCAGCAATACCAACAATTGTTGCTTCAGTACCCCAAGTAAGCAAGTAAGTAAGTAAGTCATTATCAAAAGAAGGTGCCAAGCCAGGAAGACTATGTCCAGCATCCCAAAATTATCAGTCTGGTCAAATGAGAGGATCCGAGTGTGTGAGGTCACATCAAGGCCACCACCACACACCACACTAGACATACAGCAACCCTATGTTAAACCAAAACTGTTAACTTTTAAAGTACAACTGGAAAAGATCATCAAGGCAAATGAGGGTGGGGGAACCTTTGACAAGCCACCAGCTTTCTGTTCTTGTCAAGGCCACTAGTATTGGTGGCTCTCAGGTAAATATGTTGCACAACACTTGCCAGCATTATATTAATTCATTGCTCTTACTCTAATTTACAGTCTTATTTAATGTGTTAATGATTACATTATACCTGAGGCATCCCCAGGCAGGCAATGCCAAAACATTAATAAAGTTAAGTAGTTCCCATTGTCTGGGTTATATTTATAAAGGTCCCTCTAGGCCAAAGACTGAGCATTCCTAGAATGGAACCACAACAGTTGCCTAACTTCTAGGTACAGTACCTATTTACTGCTAGTTGAATAACCATATCAGAAGCAAAGAAACATGCTCAAACATCTCACTCTGCCTGGAAATCAAAGCCGGGTCCAATCGGTAATGAATCACCCCACCAAACTAAGACACATTATATCATAATAAGAAAATGTAAAGATTGAGAAAGAATCTAATCTGAACAAATACAGTACTTTGTACACTCACAATTTCAACAGAAAATAAGAGACTCATACAGAGTCAATTTGTAAGTTTCCATTTTAATTCATGTGGCAGAATTAACAAGGTTTGAATAAAAAAATGAGAAACATAACCCAGAAACAAAGGTAAGGGGTCACAATTCATCGCATCACTTTGGCTTCAGATCTGGACTCTAATATATATATATATATGTATATATTTACTATTAAATTATTGAGAATATAGTACAGTCATTAGTTTTACTTACATAATAGTTCAAAATATTTTTAATGTTCCAATTACATCTGAAACCTTTAAAGTGTTAAAGCTTATGAATAAATACAAAGGTTATTCATTATTTCAGTCTATTATTATCTAACAACTTTACAAAGTAAGGTAGTCCAGGTTATGTGTACTATTCCAGGAACTATCTTACTAACTTGGTTATTTCCTTTCATATGTAACTGATTATAAACTATTTATTTAAATACAACAAACCAAACTAGTCCTTACATTTATTACTTGGGCCTTCAAGTGTTTCAGTAACACATCATCCCCCCTTCTCATGTACAATCATCCATTCTGAGTTGTTGAATACCTCTCGATACAGTCTCCAATTCTCTTGGTTTTGAAGTCAAAATCAGCCCTTCATCCATGGAAGCAGTTAAATTTTCCATGCTGCGAGATCTGACCAACACATGTCCTGTATTTCCACCGCTAGAAGTGGAATTACTGTAACTGCTGAAGGTTTTCTTTTTACATGTACCACTGCTAAGACTGGTTGTTCTAAGTCGATATGATCCACTGTTGTATCCCGAGACTTCACTCGTACTTGAAATTGCAGTGCAGGTATTACTAGTATTATCATATGGGTGAGTCCTAAGTCGACGTCTACGGGTAATGCAACACTTGTACACTCGTTTTGTGGAGGGCTCTTTGATTCCATGACAAGGTAGCTCATAGCCAGCTTTAAAGCTTGTGATAAAAGTTGAATTCATTGTAAGAACCTGAAAACCTGCAATATTTGCATTTTCCTTTTCGACAGAGTGAGAAGATCCAGAGCTTTTGGGGCTTTTCTGGGAGTCCCAACGAGAAGTAGAAGGTCCAGGCTGCTCTACATTAAGCTTCTCCATGCTGTCTCTCAAGCACTCTTGAAGAAACTCCTTACGACTTGAAGTGATGGTGCTTAACATGCCTGAAATATATGCAGAATACACTAAATGCACAAACTCAAACTAAGTTGTGAAAGAAAGCATAAAAGTGAAATAATTAGCAAGGAAAAATGTACTGTAGTTCTTGTCAACCATGTTAACCAGTCATCATAAGAAGCCTCTTACAAGAAGTTTTCAATGGCCTACAATATAACATGTATATAATCTATTTCTTGTTTGTCAAAAAATCTGCATTAAAGGAACTCCCAAGACTGATACATTAAAATCATATCTTAGCTAAAATCCCAAAGTTTGCTTACTGTTGGTAGTGGATGCGATTGTAAAATTTCCATTGCTACCTATTGGATGGGTGATAGGTACACTGTGTGTAGCTTGCCCACTGCAAATATAAACTGCTTAGCTTAAGAGACTGTTGTGGTCTAGTTCTTAAACCCATTGCTGATATATAAATGAAACTATGTAACTAGCTTATCAAGACCATATCTTGCATAGCCAAATGAACTTTTGGAAAGTAAGCCCTCCCGACTAAAATATAAAGGGAGCCGAGGAAGTGGAAACCTAAGGAAGGGTAGAACAAGCTCATAATCCCAATTACTCGGTACAGCACCAGATGGAAGGTGCAGATAAGGTACAGAACATGGACTGGGAGGGAAGACAAAAACAATCCCATGGAGAGAATCAATACCATAGAAATAGATGTAACAAGGCTGCAAAGAAGAACAAGCAAACCCAGAACCTTCTCAAATGAACCCCTAAAACCCTGAGACCTAATGCTGCCATAGGAAAGGAAGGGCCAAGGCCAGCACCTACAACCCTCCCCAGAATTCAAAATTGAGAGGTAGGAAGGAGGAGGAGAGCCAGGTGTGGAAATCTCATAAAAGCAGACCCTAAAGAAACACACCACAAAACCAGGAGGCTGCAAGTTCAGAAGAAGGCTCTGAAGCCATCAAAACATCAGATGGGACCACCTCCAGCTGGTCCATGCCACCAGAACACCAAAGCAAGTGAATGAGTGAAGTGGGCTGCTGGTCGGGACCCAGGTAACCTGGGCCACCATCCGGTGGTGGTTGAGAGGATCAAAGTTAGGGTTTCTGGCTGGTTTTTCATAGTTTTGGGAACACCTCTGATTTCCATGCTGCACTACCCTTGCACAGAGTCAGATTCTGGTCCTGGCTCCTTGTCTGTCATCGCAGGTCACAGAAACCTAATGTAACCTTACAGGATTTACTACAGTACTGTAGCACTACAGCTCTGGGAAGCTACTGAGGGGACCTACCAGAAAAAAACTGTCTGTAAAGGGTTAAAAGGACAAAAAACAGTGTATGGTATTTATTTTTATACAGTACTTTTATTAAATCTGTACAATGATTTGCAAAGCTATAGTGATACAATTTCTTAGACGAGTAAATCAATATAATTGCCTATATATAATACAGTACAGGTATGTTGTTTGTACATTTATAATTAGCTTACTCTTAAAAAGTATGAGTACAATGAAGAAATATAATGTCGAAGTACACTGCAGATCAAATATTTTAACATGATAATAATCCCCATTAGTCTCACAAATACAGAATACGATCATACTTACCCAGCTCATCAAGAGATTTATTTATGGAGACTATATCATATATCTCCCCCGCACCCCCAGTACTCATGGTTGTACCTCCATATGCAAGAAAAAAATACGGAAAAATTATAATTTATTGAAATGTTTTTGCAAATTTCATTTATAACAAAAAATACTAAATGATATTGACAGAACATGTACAATAATTGTATGTTAGTAAATATTACTTTGTCACATATGGTAGAAGATGGAATTAATACACACACAAATCTGCTGTACTGCACAGTTAAATGAGAATTTGTTGGGAGTATAAATATGTCACACAACTGGAATAATTAATTTTAAGAAGGAACTACCAACTCCTACCCTGTTACTGTACAATGGGAAATCCAGCATCCAGATCACTTCCAGCATACACACCCAGAAAACCATCATTGGAGCAGTCCACTCATAATATAGGCTACAGTACACACAGAAATCACAATAGCTTGATGCATCAAATGAACAAATCCACAAGGGCCGTGACGAGGATTCGAACCTACGTCCGAGAGCATCCCAGACGCTGCTCAGTCGATGAAAGTAGCATCTGGGGATGCTCTCAGATGTAGGTTTGAATCCTCGTCTCGGCCCTTGTGGATTTGTTCATAGACTAGTGTTTATGTGACATCCTGGCTTCATCAGAGTTCTGACCATTGTCTAGAGAGCACCAACTGGTTTTTTAGCATCTCATTGAAACTTTTAAAATAATGAACAAGTTGGAGAATGTTGATCCAGACAATTTCTTCAAAAGGTCAGATGTAACACAAACAAGGAGCAACAGTTTCAAGCTCAACATGCCACAATGTAGGACTGAGAACAGGAAATGCTTTTTCACCCACAGGGTTATAAAGCCATGGAACCGCCTACCCGCCAAAGCCATAAATGCCAAAACTCTGTAAAATTTAAAAATCCAACTGAAAAAGATCATCAGGGCAAATTGGGGGATCTTTGACAAGCTGCCAGCACCTGTCCTCATCGAGACCACTAAAGTGTTAGTAGCCCTCAGGTAAATTCAGGTAGGTAAATATTCCAAATAATTTTGTCACAAACCCAGCCAGTCAAAGTCATTGTATGCCTCCAACATCTTTCTAGCTTTATAAATCAGCTGACATATAAAAACCTTGTGGAAAAACTAAATAGCTTATGATATCTGAATATACAACAGCTAGTAACAATGATACATTATCTCAGAACAGTAATGCAAGCATCTTATACATATTTAGACCACTCATCAGCTTCAATCTGGGAACATCCAGTTTCAAGATTGTCATCACCTCTCAATCAACAGCAGCAGCTTCAGTTTGCCTTCATATCTCTTTTCTTGTTTGTGAAGATTTTTGTGTACATTTTTCTCAATTTTACTCAAAAGTTGATTTTTAGAGCACACTTACTTACAATCTGATATCACCAATATTGCTGCTAGTCCTGAACATTGCATAATAATTATTCATTGTGCTAGGGGACAGGAAGCCAGAGTGTATTCATACACATTTAGCTTTTATCGAGGTTTTTTTATGACCCCCAGGTCTCGACTTGTAAGCATCCTATTTACCAGAGATATCACTTCCCCTTCCAGTACAGGTACTTGACCCAAGTGAAGCCTCCTTGCCTTATGAGTGGCAGCAGCCAGCAAGTCACCCTCCTCCAAGTTCCCTGCAGGTATATGGAGTCAATATCCCAACACAACTTGCACAGGAGAGGTGGCGGCCGTGTAGTGGCCTCGCCTGTATATACCCAGTACTGTATATATTATCCATGTGGCTCGTGTATGATTCAGTTACAGCCCCGCTCTTGTGCCAGATAAGTCCACTATAGGCTCACCATAGCCCGTGCTACTTGCAACTTTTTGTTCCCAGTAGCTGAATCTATAACAACAACATCGTGTATGATTGACGGCCCATACACCTCTAGTCTACGAGATATGCGTCGATGTTTAATGATAGCAACAATATATGCTGATAACAGTATCAAAGGCACACTGCAGCATTATATGATACTGGCAATATGAAGGATATCACATAGAATAACAAGCAGAGAACGGACTAACAAGAGAGCAGATAGAGAACTGCTCGTCAGGAAAAAGCCAGCAGGTATAGCTGATAACAGCACCAGGATAAAAAAGAAAAACACTATTGGCCGGTAATACCATTATATGAAGGGACTATGATGATGGAGTGCGTAGAGGATGGCTGAGAGACCACTAGAGCAGTGATCAGTACCGCTGACAGCCTACCACTGACAGCAAGAGACACTGCCACAACACTCTCCTGCCCTCTAATCATCTCTCGCATAGCTAATACTAATGTTACTTACCATCATTCGGTGGAAAATATCTTAAACTACAAAGATCTATGGGAAAAATGGGGTTTTAACGTACCATTGGGGAGTTAAATGTAGCAAAGGGGATGTTTCAAGGCCATGTCAATCAGCTGAGAGGGTAAACACGGAGGTAAACAGACAGCAGCTGCCACCCTCCTGGGCGGCCGCCCACCTCCCGCCAAATTTAAATAATTTCCCACACATTGTTTATACAGCAGGTTTATTTTTGAGTCTTGGGTAGTATGTAAATATTATATATATTTAACATGAATTTGCTTAGAGGATCTCGGTTGCATAGTACGTTGGGTTCGTTCTCAACTCACAATCGGGAATCCAGGGTTCGAGTCCCAAGAGAAACATCCCGCACACATCCCGCTTGGGATGTATATATAACATTAATAATTTTGTAACTAGCATCAAAAAATTTTATTTGCTTAGCTAAACGAACTAGATGTTCAGTTCCTGAACCGATTATGTGCCTCTGTAATCGTTTACACCACCGCCCACAGGATGGGTATGGGGTGCATAATAAAGAAAGAAATTGAGAAATTGAATTGATGTTCCTCTTCTGCAATTCCTGATTTCCTAAATTACTGCGGTTATGACAACAGAGATTGGGATGCCCATGTCCAGCTTAATTTCAGGCTCTAATTTTAGTAAGAATGCCGCATATTTAAGAAACCTTTTGTGATATTTAGTATGACATTGCTGTCTATATGAACACCATGAAATTTCCCATCTACTCATATTTTTGATAATTTATAATTATCAATTATAAATTATAATTATCAGTTATGGGCATTATTATAAATTATTAACATTATAAATTATCAACAATATTATCAATTATCAACACGCCAGTGTGTAGGACTGAAAACAGGAGATGCTTTTGATATACCTATATCTATATAAAACATATAATTGGTATATAAATATAATATCGGTAATAAACAAATGGAACCGCCTACCCGCTCAAGACATAAATGCCAAAACTAACTTTTAAAATCCAGCTGGAAAAAATCGTCCGGGCAAATACAGGAGACCTTTGACAAACCCACGGCTTCCTGTCCTCTTCGAGGCCACTCGAATGTCGGTGTCCCTCAGGTAAATTACAGCAACTTAAGTCCAACTTATGCCCGAAACGCTTTGCGTAATAGTGGCTTTAGGCATTGTATGTACTAGCTCTACCTATAAGTCAAACAATCCTTGTAAAAATTTATTGTATGTATGTACCTTACCTAAATAAAATTGTATTGTATTGTATTGTATAAGTGTCAAGTGTTTCGAAAATAAATTACAATGATTTTAAGTTTAATATGTATGCAGTTGAGCTTCATCTTTTCGTTTTTCTTTTGTTTCAATGCGTTTATTGTTGAGACTTGTGGTGTTTATTCCCAGCTGAGGCTTTGTAAACATGGCTGCGGTACGGCTCTTTTCATACGGCCGCAATGGTATGTATTTTTCCTTATTTATTCCCCAAATGATACCTTGGATATATTGTACTGGTCATGCTGAATGTTCCAATTTTACGAGTACAATTGTACTCTTAGTGGGGTGGCATCACTTAAATTACCGGAGTTTGAGTTAACATTTCAAGCAGACCGGTGTCAGGATAAGTCGCCCTTATTTCAGCTTGTAATAATTTACTTTTGGAGTTTTGTAACAAAACTGCGCCAAGCGAATTATAAGTTTTGTGCAAATATATATTAAAATGTGACATACATTGAAAACTGTTAACAGGATAAATGTTAAGAATTCAAAGTGAATATTACCAGTAAGAAATTCCTCTCTTTCACATCTGAATTTACCTGACGGCCACTAGCACACTAGTTGCCTCGATGAGGACAGGAAGCCGGTGGTTTGTCAAAGAGCCATCCATTTGTCCTGATTTTTTTCAAGCTGTATTTCAAGTTCAGCGGAGTTTTCGGAGTTACAACTTCGGTGGGTAGGCAGTTCCATAGGTTTTTAACTCTGTGGGTGGAAAATCATCTTTTGTTTTCAGTCCTACACAGTGGCTTGTTGAGCTTGAAACCATTAATCCTTGTCTGTATTATATCTGACCTTTTGAAGAATTTGTCCGAATCAACTTCTTCCAAATTGTTCAGTGTTTTGAATGATTCGATGAGATCAGCCCTATCATATCTGACTTGCAGTCTTGTTAGCCGTGTGGCCCTCAACTTGTCCTGGTAGGAGAGTATCAGGACAGGGCGTACATCATAAGAGAGTACTAATTTTGTCAATGTGAACACTGCATAAACAGAGAAACTTAAGTATAGGTCAAACAGAGAAACTTAAGTAGAGAGGTCCAAGAATTTTTGTTTTGGGGGGTTAAGAACAGTTGTCCTCTTATAATGTCATGTGTGTGTTTTATTTAGTATTTTTCAAGATAAGTGCAAATGAAATTTCTTATTACTATATTGTTACAATTAATTTTCCCAAAATTTGAAATTAAGGTACAGTACAGTGGAGTCTGGCCCGAATGAACCAAAACTAATTGATGAAACTCAGCCTAATAATATTCATTGTATTTAAGCTGTACTATTATTAAACTGTTTTATGGCTAAAATCATTGTTTTTATTGATTAAGTGAACATGCTATACACATTGTGTATTTTCATGCCAGAATTATTTGGGGGGGGGGAATGTAAACCACCACCCAAATAAAAATGGCGTACATAAGATATAAATGAATAAGTACTGTACAGTATATTCAATAAAAAATTTAAATTGCTAAATCTAAACCACTCCATTATTTCTTAAATTATTTTATGTCATGTGGTTTATTTTGCAGTTTCAAGTGGCTCACTACTTGTACCGTGTGTGCGCGGTACTGCTGTAACACAAGCACGTTCTTGCTACAAGTATGTGACTCCAGATGAGCCCAGTATGGAGTGGAAAGACATCACTGACCGGGCAGCTGCCACTGTGTTTTGGACGGAACTCTGGCGAGGTCAGATTTATGCAACACAAATGTGTAATCTTATTTAGATGTGGGAAAGCTTTGATTATGAACTATGCATATCACGTACTTGGTTCAGTAATTTTTTTTTTTTCCATAAAAAATATTTTAGAAGTAACATACTGTAAATACTAATAATGTGCAACAAATTCAGTAATTTTTCCCAATGATTACTTGAATATTTAATAATTATTGTGTAATAGATTTTTGTGACTTTTCTGGACAACTCCTTTTGTAGCTCCCAAATACAGCAACCTGGAAGCACCCAAGCTTTAAGGAACACACCAGGGCTTAGTGATTTACGGACATCTGCTGGAGGCCAGGACCAGAATGAGCTGGGGGTTAGGAGGGAGGACATTGTTAGAGGGGAGTTGGGACAAATTATGTTTGTCTTCTTACCTTTGCAATAAACTTGCATATATGCTCCAAATTCCTGAGTCCTCACCATCATTTAAAGGGTTTCAGTAAGTGAGGTAAATGAGAAACATTTTAGCCAGATATAATGCAGTAGTATGACTAGGAAGCTCTCCATCAATGTGTGTGTGTGGGTAAAGTTTTCACAATAATGTACATAGGTGTGATCTTTGACGTAATGAAATGGGAAGGGGCAAAGGGCTTACACATTCATGTTTATATCATGACCTGTTCTCTTTTAAAAATTACAATTCTACAGTGTATTAGTATTTAATAGATTTTTGCTAAAAAATTATATGTACCTTTGCCATCTGTGTAATATTTTACTACTGGTATAATACCTAGTTTGTTTCATTTTTGTAGGTGCTGCTGTAACACTGGGTCATATTTTCATGGAGCCTGCTACCATCAATTACCCCTTTGAGAAAGGACCACTTAGCCCAAGGTTGGTACTGTACATAAAATAAGGTTGTGAATAAAAAGGGAGACAAATATGAAGGGTTTGCCATAGTCAATGAAAATGATAGCGGTAAGGAGGGTGGACCTTCAAATGACTTTGGGGAGCACAGTGAAGAAAAATCCAGAGAGAGCAAGAAACATGGCTACATAAACTCAGTGATGTCTTTTGTAGTCAGTAGAAACAAGGGGTAGAAATTTTAAATATTGCCCAACTATTGAATCTATATTTGAGATAACAAACGGCCAAGAAACATTGTATAAAGGTGAGAGAGACCTTTTTCTTGAGAATGAGACACGTTTTTCTTGGCTGTTCATAGAGCTCCTCCTAGAAATTGTTGCTATGCAGTTTTTAATTCTCTAGTGTTTTTTCTTCCCTTCTGATTTGAAAAATGTATTCAAAGACATCTGCATATACATCTTCTCATAGTTAAGCTCTTGCTGTCTTTTAAATTCATTACGTACTTCATTTCAACATAACTTTTGACATTTCCATCTTTGTTATTGTTGAAGTATATAAATATATTTGATAAGAGTTCCACATGGCACACTGTGCCATGTGGAAGCCCTGTCAGCTTCATCAACTTAATCAAATCCAGTGATGTTTTATATGATTAATATTTAGTTTTCTAATTTTGCACATTTGCATTCAGAAAAAAGAACGCAAGTCAAATGTAATGCGATGTAAATTGAAAAGTGAGTGTAAAGGGAGATTGAATGTAAATTTGGACTCAGTGGGATGACAGTACAGTACTTGTGAAGCTGTATGTTAGAGTTTTATATATATACAGTACTTTTAAACAGGTTCCGTGGGGAACATGCCTTGCGTCGTTATCCATCTGGTGAAGAGCGCTGTATTGCTTGTAAATTATGCGAAGCCATCTGTCCTGCCCAAGTAAGTGGAAAATCATATAATTTATATTATAGGTTTATTAATTGTTACAAGAATTCAACTTGTACAGGTTTTTAAGTTGTCAACAAGCCATATCTTTGACAGTACTGTAATTCCTTTTTTAATAACAAGTACTGTACTGTAATCAGCTAGAAGCACCCCTGCTCTCCCTGTTGACAATTTATTTTATTATGTAGGCCTGCTACACACATTACTCATTCTTAACCAGTATTTTCTTACAATCATTTGGCAATGAGTGCAAGGATGGCTACAAAATATGTCTTGGAACATTTCCTCCATGCACAATTTAGCTTACACAGCTCAACATTTATGTGGCCCCTTTCATGATATAATGTTACCCAGATGCTATTCAGAATACTGTATGTTACTGGAATATCTGCCTCAGTCGTGAGTTAATGATCTGGATAAAACAAACCAATTAAGTTAAAAAGAACTACAGCACATTTGCTAGGATTGAGTGTAAGGATGTGTTCAACATTGTATTTCATATATTTCTATTGGTTTTTCTATAACATCTCTGGTAAATGTATAGGGAAACCAACATGTTGATTTGTTTATTTAGGAACTGCTTTCCATTTAGTTTTTTGAAAATGAGACGTGTCAGAACTGATACTACTAGCATGCTGCATCCCAATGCTAGTTGAAGTCCTGCATACAAAATTCTTACCCAGGAATTTTTTTTTTTGTTATTTTTCATATAAAATTATGCTGTAGCTTGCAAAAAAAATATTGCAATTTATTTTTGTCCATACTACTTGTCCACTCGTCCTGTATGACTTGTGAATTTACAAATTGGATATTCACCCAAAGTTGCTGGCTGGGCATTACAAATAAAAAACTTATTCGGTATTTCAACTCTCAAGACGGTAACACTCGCATATTTTCCTAGTGCTTCAAAACCATTTAAGTTAAATACTTGTAATTCCTAGATACTTGTATACATCTTATCAGTACTGTCTGTACTGTGACTTGACATAAAAATTGGGTCATACAGTATGGTTTCTAGACCTTTATTATTTGCTGTATATTTTGATTGATTCAGTAGAGCTGGCTATTACATAGGTAATAATACAAAAGGTTTAGTGCCACATAAAATTTTCTTGTTTATTTCTAGTAAATTTCCAGAAGCTATCTTAAATACACTGGACAGAGATTGTAGTGATATTTCTGAAAAGCATCTTGGTTATTTTATGTCTTCCAACCTGTTAATTTCTTCGTTATCATCCGAGACGTGAAAATTAGAACAAATTTCAAATTTAAGTGTCATGAAATCTCGACACCTGGTCAAAAGTAGACATTTATTAGTGTCTCCTTTGTATAGTCATGAACTATGGGACTTGCAAAATGCTGATTAGTAAGCATTTTAGTAAGATATTAGTAAGCTAAATTGTTTGGGGAGGAAATGCTCAAGACATAGCTCGTGTCCATCTTTGCACTCATTGACCTAATTGGTTGGCTTTATTTCTACAAGAGTAAGGGATCATTAAGACAAATGATCTTTTATGATAGGAAATCACCCATCCAGCTAACTGCATTCCCTCTTGCAATATGATTGAAAGAAATTCAACTTGAGAATGAATGAATGACGTGGCAGGTCTGCAGAACAAAATAGATAAGCTCCTTAGAGGAAAGCATGCATACCTCTAGCTGGATATTTGATATTATTATGGAATTGCAGCCTGAACCAGAGCCCTGTCAAACGACCTGTGAGAGAGATCCAGGTTTGACCCGTGAGACTGCTGGTGATGTGAAATTAATGTACAATGTTTCTTAAAATTATTGTTTATATTTGTGCTTTTTGTATCTATCCTTGAATACTCAGATGTAAACAATATACATTTTGTATTATAAATTATTAGCCATTGAGAGTAATGCTGTGTGTTTGTCAACATGTCTTGATTGTAATTTTATGCTGGATGCTGTGTAATTTACACACTAAACAAAGTGCTATACATGTTGAAAGCCATTATAGATGTAAAATGCCTGTGTATTTGTGAATGAAAGCAATTAATTAATCAAGCTAATCAAATAAATCAAAAACTATTATGTACCAGGTAATGGAGTTGGTGTTAATACCCCTTACTTTTTAAAATATTTGGAAGAACAGAATTTTGTAAATACAGTACCACACACACTGTTATATTCACGAAGTAATTGTTGTGGCCTATATGACTTTGTTAGTGAATATATATACTGTACAAGGGAATTATGAGAAACATAAGAGGTTTCTGTATAACAAACCGAGACAACATTTAAATTAAACACTTTATCAGTGTTGAAGGTCTTGGCAAATTTTCTCAGGAAATTTGAACTTTACATCATAACTTGCACAGTTTGTGCGATTTTCATTTAATTTAAAACAGCTTTTGATTCATAGATAAGTGATTACTACCTTCAATTCATTAAATTTCTAATAGTACTGTATATTGAATTTCCTGTAGGCTATAACCATTGAAGCAGAGGAACGGGCTGATGGAGCTAGACGTACGACAAGGTATGATATTGATATGACCAAGTGCATCTACTGCGGTTTTTGCCAAGAAGCCTGTCCAGTTGATGCTATTGTGGAGGTAAGATACAAAATATTTTGTAATTTAGTTTATTATTCCATGATATTTATAAAATCTAATTTGAGAACATCCTGTGAAGCTCAATTTATTTTGTTCAGGAGGAAAGTTTGTTAAAATGGGAAGCGTTACAAGTGCTATTGAGACCCCATTTTTTTTATCCCTTTCATCCTAAATGTTATATGTTAACAATTTATGTAAAAGAAAAAGAAAAACAGATAATTAAAGTGTGCAGTATCAATGAAATATATACAAAAAAATAGGAAGTGAAAGTCATTATTAGTGTGTTTTATACAATGTGAATTCATTTATTTTAGTTACTTGTGAAGTTTTACTTGTGAAGTTTATTACACAATTAGTTAGCTACATGTGTTCCCAAGGCATACAGTATACTGTAATACCATTATAAATATAACCAATTAGCATAATTGTCCAAGGATTATTTTAGGGCTGGGGACATAAGCAATGTGAGAATTTTCATGAGATGCATGTTGAGGATTAAAAAGACTGATACATTTCTCAAGGTTTGGCTTCACCAAAGCTTAAGCTACCGAGGGTGCCTCCTTGAAGAATGTTTTGACGCTTGTGCTTATTGGGGTTGTATTTATAATATTACATTCCGGTACGTGTTTTGAGAACACGCATTGCTTGGTTTTGTGTTACGGTACTTGGTCAATTTGACTAGCATGCTGGTAAAAGGTATCTAAATGTCATGTCAGTCTAAAATAATGGTAATAAATATCTTTAATTTGGAATTGGCTAGGCAACAACTGTTATGGATTTTCAGTGGTTTACTGTAGTACAGTTGACCAGACCACACACTAGAAGGTGAAGGGACGATGACGTTTCGGTCCATCCTGGACCATTCTCAAGTCGATTGTGAAAATGGTCTTCTCACAATTGACTTGAGATTGTGGACTTCTGACAGTCGACTTGAGATTGTGGTCTTATCACAATCAACTTGAGAATGGTCCAGGATGGACCGAAACGTCGTCGTCCCTTCACCTTCTAGTGTTTGTCTGGTCAACATACTTCAGCCACGTTATTGTGACTCCTAGTCTGCACTGTAGTACAGTATTGATTTTTGGATATGACAAGTAGCATTCATTATGGCAAACTTGGCATAACCCTACCCACTTGTGATGACTAACCCTAATGAGTAATTTGTAAGAATTTTATGTAATTTCTTTTAATTAATATTGTCTTCTAAAAAATGCTTTACTTATTCACATGCAGGGTCCTAATTTTGAGTTCTCTACTGAAACTCACGAGGAATTGCTGTACAACAAAGAAAAACTACTCAGCAATGGTGACAAATGGGAACCGGAAATTGCTGCCAACTTAAAAGCAGATCATTTGTACAGGTAGAATTATTTAACAAAGTGTTCAGTAATATTCAGAATTTTTGTAATGCTCGTATACAGTAGCCTGATGACTATTGCACCTTCAAAATTTAACCACTTCTTACCAACTATAAAGCACTTAAAAAAAATCTGTGTTCAGAGAAACGACGATAAGATAGCATCTTCTTTAAAATATGTCAGGGCTTGAAAAGCCCAGGAGACACTAAATGAAAAGTTTAAAACTGTGTAATTAATGCAAGATTACTCTCCTTCACAAAAGGAAAACTGGAAAAAGACTAATGCTCCATTCTGAAAAAAATTATCTGCATCTTAAGAGCCATATAAAAATTAAATCATGTTTGAATGTTTACAAAATATTGAGTACATGTAACGATATAGTTTTGGATTTTGTATCTGTATGCTTAAAAGATGTTGCATTAATTCGTGTAAATACATATACGTTCAGTGTCAACACACGTTTTACTAACCTACATTACTTGACAACTTCCCAGGAATATTACCGTAATGCCATTTTATAAAGCAAAAGCTGAAAGAAACAAGATAACGTCTGTGATGTAATGAAGCATGAGATTGAGTATGGTAGATATTTTTGTGACCAAGATCAATTGGTTTCCTTGTTTACCATTATAAATAAAGCATACTGTAAAATTTGCACTAAACAATAAGCAATGAAAATACTACTGTATGTCAAATATTGTATACAAATTGTGGACTGAATGTACCATGTGCTTTACCTGAAAGGGTAATATTATTCCAAAAAAGTTATCATGCATAATTTGATAATAAATAATAATTTATTGTGTTGGGAACAGGCAGTCAGTATATACATACAGTATATGTTAGGTCGGGAATGTGCTGAGGTACATTGAGGTACCCTAGTCGCCGGTCGGCTGAGCGGGCAGCACGCTGGACTTGTGATCCTGTGGTCCCGGGTTCGATCCCGGGCGCTGGCAAGAAACAATGGGCAGTTTCTTTCACCCTATGCCCCTGTTACCTAGCAGTAAAATAGGTACCTGGGTGTTAGTCAGCTGTCACAGGCTGCTTCCTGGGGGTGGAGGCCTGGTCGAGGACCGGGCCGCGGGGACACTAAAGCCCCGAAATCATCTCAAGATATACCCTCCACTAGAGTTGAATTACCGACCCTTCCCAGGAAGGAACCCCACAACAAACTGACTAACTCCTCAGTACCTATTTATTGCTAGGTGAACAGGGGCGTTAGACAATAAGAAACAAGCCCAACCATTTCTGTCCAGGCCGTAATTTTAACCCAGAATTTTCAATTGTAAGTTGAGAACACACCAGATTGTATTACCGGGACCCTAATAGTGATCTATTTATAGCTTACAAAAAATAAGTAAGAAAATGACTAGTGATGTAAAACCCCCTTTCAATGATGAGTATTTTCCCATGGTTTTATCTAATTATATTACTATAGTTCAAAGTATGAGAGATGACTGATTACATCTGTGTAGTATCAACTACAAGTAGCAATGAGAAATGTAGGAGTCTGACAGATGGACTAACTGGAATGATGGAAGATTGTAATGGGGGAACCAGGCATTTGGATATTACTAATTTTCCTTAGGATTTTGGGCTGCTGGTAGGGTCTCTGAATAAAAAAATGCAAAATTAATTATTAGCCCTTAAGCTGACACAACTACTGTATGTGTTACTATCCCCTCCCCAAGAGAGGGAGGAGGAAAAAGAAAAAGAACTGCAAGAAAAATGACAGGTTGGATAACAAGGACCTTCCAAACAAGGGATGCCATACCAGTGATGATACCTTTTAAGACACTAGTGCTCTCTAGGGTGGAGTATTATTGCACTCTAATAGCCCCATTCAGAGGCAGAGAAATTGCTGACCTGGAGAGCGTGCAAAGAATCCACTCTATAAGTCATCTTAATTATTGGGACCGATTAAAAGGTCTAAATCTGTATTCTCTAGAGCGCAGGCATGCGAGATACATAATAATCTACACGTAGAAGATATTAAGAGGTACTGGTTCCAAATCTAACACAAGAGATAACACCACATGAGACCAGTAGGCATGGCTGGATGTGCAAAATACCCCCGTTGAAAAGCAGAGGTGCAATAGGTATGCTGAGAGAGAACTCTACCAACACCAAGAGCACAAGACTTTTTAACACACTCCCACTACACATAAGAAGCATAACAGGCCAGCCTTTAGCAGTGTTCAAGAGAGAACTTGACAAGCACCTCCAAAGTATACCTGATCAACCAGGCTGTGATTCATAAGTCAGGCTGCGAGCAGCTGCGTCAAACAGCCTGGTTGATCAGACAACCAATCAGGAGGCCTGGTCAGAGACTGGGCCATGGGGCCATTGATACCCAGAGCTACACAAGGTTGATAAGGTAGGTAGACTTAAAGTCTGAGTATTGATCCTTTGGTTGCTCTCAGAGCCTACATCAACACAGGACTGTCCCCCACACTCCCACTATTACAAGGAACTTTTCAGATACTGACTAGTCTTTTTAGTTTAGTTCATTTATTATGCATCCCATACCCATCTTGTGGGCGGTAGTGGAAAGGGTAACAGAGGCACATAATGGGCTCAGGGACTGAACCCCACAAGTCTTATTACAACTTTTGGAAGGGAAAGTAACTCAAACCACCACTATGTGACTAACTCAGAATAATACAAAGGAAAAATTAATACCATAGACACCCTCTGCAAATAATAATTAGAAGAGCAAAGCAGACCAAGTATTAATTTTTTCTGCCAGTTAGCAATCAAAGGCTTCTCCATCACCACAACAGGGTTGGAGAAGCCAGCACTGCTCACATAGTGTCTGGTATCCATCACCAACTTAGGCTCTGCAGCTGCAAAAAAAAAAGTTTATTTATCAGCTTTTTCTGAAGAGTATTCTCTAACCATGGAGAGTTCCATGCTTTTGGACTCTGTTCATGGCATGGTGTACTGATCACTCACATACCATTGAAACATTGCTGCAGTGGACAGCATAGTCAAAGTGTTTGTTGTTGTTTCACCTTTGTTTGGCTCGTCTTGTGTTGTGCCAATACAGTACCTTTGTGAAAGTTGTTCTGGGCCTAGATCTTAATGCTGGACTTCCCATTACACTCTTAGGGGGTTTGTTTCATGTTCTCTCCTTGGTGTGATAGTTTTGCCCTTTTGGGTTTTGATTGAGGTGTAATGTGGCTCTAGTTAATTTTTCCTTTAGCCTGCCCTTCCCCCATCCCAAATCCTTATCCTGCCCCTTCCAAGTACTATATAGTTCTAATGGCTTGGCACTTTCTCCTGATAATTCCCTCCCCTCCAACCCACCCTATTTCCCTCACTACTCTAGCCAATTCTCATCCTTGTTGAACAGAGTTCAGTTAGCATTTGCTAAGAACAATCCTCTTGGCTTCTTCCTTGGGGTTGGCACAGGGGAAGGTTAAATCTTGTTCCCCCTTTTCTGCTATGTTTTATTCTTGTGAGTGGGTTGTTGTGGCATCTTCCCCAGGTCTTGAGTCAGATTCTATGGTTTACAGGTTTCCCTGGGTGTAACACACTTGATATACCTTGATGCTCTCTGATGTTGTCTCTACACTCGAAATTTGGTTCTTTTTTCAATAGTGTGACTAGTGTTGGATGTGGATGTCAGTCTATTGGAGCTCGCTTCACTGCTTATCGTACTGATATTTAGTAGCAGACTAGCTCAGGTGCATGTAGTCTACTGGGTAGACTGACAAGGGGTTTTCAGTTACCACCCACCTTTCTGGATGGGGAAGTAAAGAAGTTAGTCCTGGTACACATATCAGATAAGTCACATCTCGTGCTGCTCTTTATCGATTATTGGATCTTGTTGATATGAAGTTAAGAGACCTTGTGGATCATCATTTTATTTTATTAATATTTTTGCTTAGGTTGTGATGTATCTTCATAGGCAGTTACCATGGCTGACCCTTATTCCTCAGAGGAGGCAGTCTGTGATGTCATGGGTCCACTTTTGACTGACCATTGGTGCTTATGAGTGACTAAAGGGAGAGAGAGATCTAGCTCTTTATGCCTCGCCTCCAAGCCATTTACACCTGGAATGCTAATTACCTCTCTCAACATTAATGTTTTCCTCATATCTCTTCTTAAAGTTGTGGATGGAATTTGCCAACACTTCTTCAGACCAAGTCCTTTCCATCCAGCAATCAACCCCTAAGACACATTCATAAATTTTAACATGCTGTTCATTCAAAACAGGAATTTTCTCAAATATAAATTAATATTACCATATTGTACATATTTAGGCACAGGTTAGGTTAGGTGTTTAGGTTCTGCTGGGAATTATTTGTATTTGTAGTACAAGGGTGAAACATTTACAGTGTTAAGGTTCAAATAAAATTAGTGAAGCACTTGTTCCGGAAGTGTTCGAACGTCAACAGTTGTGAGTAGAGTGTAAACCATTTTTCATTCATAAACTAGCCCATCCTCCAAACAAAGACTCAAGAGTGATTCCATGCCAACCCATCCTCGACTCGAGTCCATTACATCCAGCGGTCAACCCCATAAACGCATTCATAAATTTTTACATATTGTTCATTCAAAACAGGAATTTTCTCATATACTGTACCAATTTCTACCGTAATTGTTCATATGTCAATATATGTACGATGGTCACAAAAAAAAAATCTTGTTTTGATAGTTTTTTTTTTTTTTACGGTGTCTTTTTTGCTTCTAGTCGGGGTTTAGTTCATCATGGTGGTAGAGGTCATAGGTGCTTGCTGTCGTGTCTCCTCTTAATGGTTAGAGACACTGATGTTCCTACTGTGGAACAAGAAGCTTGCATCTGAAATAGACCCTTTTGGGGTTTGTTTCCTGTTACCTACCATGTGTCGTTGGTCTGCTTCATTTTTGTCGAGGCTATTGTTTTGCTAACACCTAGTCAACAACACAACATGCACCAAGCACATTATGATGCATCCCACAATTTGAGTTAAATTGATTGTAGTCTTTTCAGTCGGAACCTGACATCTTTGAGGATTGAAAATGCATTGAAAAATTGTTCGCTTTTAATATCTCTAAGACAGTTTTACAATTTTTTAATTTCATCTGATGTATAGGCATTAATCATAACATATGTAAAATTCAGTTAGATCCTACCTTTAGGTATGTTTAATAAGGCTTTTCTTTTTATATTTAGATTTATAAATGAACACATGTACATAGGACTTAAGCACTATTCTTACAGTACTAAAGTTTAAGGAATTTAAGAAACGTTTTAAGTCTCACTAAATGGCCAACAAAATTATAGGGATTTCTCAAAACTGTCGCTGGAGGATTATAAAGCTAAAATAAATTTGGCAGCATGCAACATGTTTCCAAGACATACTTATCAGCCGTTCCCACACAAAGGTACACGAGTGCTGCTCGTTCAGTTAGGCTTGGCCAAATAATTGGCTTAGAAAAGAGGACCAAGAAAATTTGCTTCCCGGCTCTCACAGGCTACACTTTACATATACCAAATTTAAAGTAATATATTTCACTCTCCAGGTGATATATTAAGACTGATAACCTAAACCGGTGAAGTAATATGGAAATGAAGCAGAGAAAATAATCCACAGGGTGCTCTTTATTGGAAATACTTAATGCCCCACTCTTCCTCAAATATGTATTGGCTAAAAAAGTTTTAAGAAATAACAAAATAGATTATAATTACAAGTTGAGAATGAATTTACACATTAGTGATGTACAGTACAATCATAAAATTTAAATCTGAGTATGTAGGATCTGCATATGATATAAATTTTGGTTACTGGGGACAGCAATTTCTTCTTGGTTCCCAGATGTGCAGACTCTTGATAACAGCATCTGAGGATTTGCATTTAATAACCAAGTTACAAGAATTGATATGCAGGATAGCATGAAAATTTCTGAAAAATGGAGTTTTAAGGGTAAAGTTTGGATAGGGACAAACTGGAGTATTGAGATGGTATGGAAGAATGTTAATGACAATAAGGTGGGAGGACAGACTTATGAAAATAAAGGTGTATGTTGGAAGTGTATTATATGATAATTTATTCTTCAGCAATATCTGTAATATACATTAATATGTAAATGTAAATAATTTGTGATTAAATATACATAATTACATATGAAAGAGTGCAAGATGTTATATTCACTTGAACCATTCAATTTCATATGCAAACATTCACATAAAATATAAATTATCCTGTTTAATTACCACAACCTATTAAAGAGCCACTCAATACTACTAAATTTACTTGTAACCATTTAAGGGCCTTTAACTTTTTAGACCTGCAAACCTCAAAATCTCTCGGCTAACCCGAATTTGGTGTATATTCCTATTATTTCTTTCAAGGCTGTCTCCTAAAGTGGTGAAAATATCATTATACACAGCACATGGCCCCGTGAGGCAACACACTACTTCACACACAGTGTACACGGCTTAGTGCTCACTTTGTTACACTCTATATAATAAATGACATTATGTAATTAATATACTTTTTATAGAAGACTTATGAAAAAAATTAGTACACATTAGATTACCTTAAACAAATTTAATGAAAAAGTTGGCAATACAGTACTCCTTTCATAATCAATATCACTTTGGTTAAACAGATCTCTCGTTGATAAGGTTCCATACAACTATTACTATTCTTGTATGTATATTTTTGTATAAATCATAAAATGCTATCATGAAATAATACAATACTAAATTATTTTGCACATGTCCATTATCAATCTATAATTATAAATTCTCTTAAAACTATACCCTTTTATAAACATAATTACTTATAAATTTTTATGCACCATTTTCCATACATGTGACGAAAAAAAAAATTATTTAAAATAATAAAAAGCAACACACTGTATCTACAAGTGATAAATGCCATACAGGCAGCCACGTAACACCTAAAGTGTTTAATATTTTAACACACTAAGTTTCTTAACAAAATACAATACAGCATACAAAATGCTGCCAAAAATAAAGCAATGTCGGAATGAGATTAACACGGCAAAATGGTTTCCCAACACACACTACAGAAACAGATACAGGACAGATAAAGTAATAAACAACTAGAGCAAGAGAGACACCCTCGGTGAATTTTCGTAAGAACTTCTGTACAGTATTTGTTTTATATTTTAATTATCACTTTATATTAAGAAAATATTAATGGGCATTCTAAAAAAAAATTACTACAGTACTGTATTTAAATATTTATTTATATTTTAACATCATAAAATATCCAAAGGAAAATATTGTTTTTATTTTTAAATATGTACTGATATAGGTTTATACACACACACACACACTCCCAAATGTACGCATGCATAATTAGAGGGTGATTGGGAGGGGGGATGGAGGAAGGCGTCATGGATGTGATCTAGAGGGTGTGTACAGCCACGCAGTTGTGTGGGTGTTAGGTGGTGGGGTAACTGGCCTGGCTCATGTGTAAACTCTTCCTATAGGTACTTTTGAGCAAAACTGCATATAATTTGGAGAAAAATGCATATAATTTTTATAAGTTAACTTCACACAGTCTTATATATAATAAAATATAAATTACCAGGTCCAATTTCAGTCATAACATTGGCTTAATATCTACATGGCAGCTATTTTCATTTGAGCTTCAGACAGCCACCAAGTGTTTAGTGAGCCACCACATCATCAGAGGTTGAAGACCAGACATAAAGAGCAGCAGATAGAGACGGCGCTTGTTGCCTGCACTGTAGGCTTCCATGGCTCCATCACCACCTTGAACTTGCCATCGTAATGTTCGAAACTGTCAAAAGAAAGGCATAAAGAAATGTACAGGCACAAAGGCATAAAGAAATGTAATGTAAACACATACACATTACTTGTAATTGTGTAGATTCCTTGCTCTGATATAACCTGCCATATATTTTGTTTACATCCTGGTTGTATTGCCAGAAACTCTAAAAACATGTGTACTGTACTGCAAAGTGTCGATTGATTTGGATTCTTCCTTTAATACATACTGTCCTGTCTATGCCTTACCAGATTTCTTAAGAATTTATTTTGGTATATTGCTGTGGGCAGTATGATACTGTACTTGCATAAGCATACTTACAACATGCACTTCACAAATTCATGACAGAATTGTAACACACTTAACGTTATATGCACAGTATTACTTCAATACTATTATTGCCATTTAAATACAGTAATTATGTCAGACATAATGGAAAATGGAATGTGTGTGTGAGAGGAGCTATTCTGTTCAGAGATGTTTACTGTTTGGAGTGTTAAGTGATTGAATGTGTGATAGCAACATTTAATAATAGTTGTAAATGCACCTCATTAGTAGAAAATTAATGTCCACACCTCTTGGCTAAAATTTCTAAAACAAGTGGATACCTTGAGAAAACAGTATCCAAGGCTTAAAGTACACTCCTTAACTTTTCGACTCCACATCCCATCCGGTGATGGGGGTGGCTATATATATACTCAAACTGCATCCCATCAGGTGAAGCATTAGGGTACCACATAAGATTTAAAAGTCCTGTACTGTATATACACAAAGCATACATTTGCTTCCTCAGGCCTCCAGTAACCCTCCTCCATCTTTAAAAAACATTTTGAGTACTACACTTCCCTTCCGGGGCCTTACTAAAAAGATGAGGCCCGCGTCCAAACACCATCCAGTGTCTGGACATGCAGGACAGCAATACCAAGACCCATCAAACATTTAACAGCAGCATATGAGTGATTACCATATACATATTTATAGGTAAAATGTGTTATGTACAATTATAAGATTTAGGCTTGTACTCACCTAGTTGTGCTTGCAGGGGTTGAGCTTTGGCTCTATATGGTCCCACCTCTGAACTGTCAATCAACTGGTGTACAGATTCTGGAGCCTACTGGGCTCTATATCAAATCTACCTTTGAAACTGTGTATGGAATCTGCCTCCACCACATCACTACCTAACACATTTCATTTGTTAACTACTCTAACACTGAAAAAATTCTTTTTAATACCTCTGCGACTCATTTGGGTGTTAAGTTTCCACTTGTGTCCTACCCAAGTTCTACCGTGTTCGTGTTCTACCCATGCTTAATAGTTTGTCTTTGTCCACCCTGTCAATTCCCCTGGGAATTTTGTAGGTGGTTATCATGTCTCCCCTTACTCTTCTGTCTTCTTGGAGCCGTGAGGTTTAGCTCCCGTAGCCTTTCCTCGTAACTCATACCTCTCAGTTCTGGGACTAGTCTGGTGGCATACCTCTGAATCTTCCCTAACTTTGTCTTTTGTTTAACTAGGTATGGACTCTATGCTGGAGCTGCACAATCCAGGACTGGTTTGACATAAGTGGTATACAAGGTCCTGAATGATTCCTTACACAAGTTTCTAAAGGCAGTTCTTATGTTGGCCAATGAAGCATATGCTATTGATGATATTCCTTTGATGTGAGCTTCTGGGAACAGGTTTGGTGTGATATCAACTCCCAGATCTTTCTCTCTATTTGACTGTATGTATGTATGAATGCATGTATGAATAAATATATGCTGTATATTTATACCTGTATTTTTAAAGTTATACATAATAAATGCCACCTTTGACATCTATACAACCCATTAGCACAAAACCACAAAATAAAGTGAGAAACAATTAAAATAAACCAACTAAGTTATTCTCATGTGGGACCTCACCTGTTTTCTACCAAAAATGCAACTTCTCTGAACCACTACAGCTAAACCAGAAGAGGTAGAGACTTTTTACTTTTATTTTCACGCATCCAGAATGCCAATTAACAATGTCAAAAGAAAAATAATTTTGTTCAGAATTTTATTTTTTTTGTTTTGCTCACCACGGGGTTGTCAGCTATTAATTAAGAGATTTGCAGCCCAGGAGTTGCAGACAAGAAGAAGAAGACAAGAAGATAATGGCAGTAAAAATGGATACAGTAGCAGAACGAATACCACAGTTGCTAATACCAGGAAGGACGGCCTCTAAATTGAACACGTGTGTTCACAGGAACCCAACCCTAATGGGGTGGTCTCAAAATAATAGATGTGCAGCTTAATCGGAAGATTGGCCCTCGGTAATACAATGGCTACTCGGAAGAATGGATGTCTCTTAGTTTATATCCTATCCCAGGGCTAGAGAGGAGATTCACAAACCACGCTTAACTGACCTGTGATGTCAGAGCACACCACACGTTAACATGTGTGTTTTTAAAAGTACAAACATTTATAATAATTTTCTCACTTACCATAAAAACAACTAGGCTAAAGCTGCTGTATGCTAGAACACAGTAGTAACCCAAGCTGTCCATTACCAGGCCAGCCAAAAGAGCAACAATCATCCTGGAAGAGAAAGATGCTAGACATGAACACAATACAAATGCAAGTACTGGGTACCTTTTTAAACAAAATTATAAACATGTGAAACAGTTTTCATAAAGCTATGTCAAAAAACATATGTTATGTACTTCTGCATGCAGTTTGACGCAATAATAGTCGAGCTGACTAGGTACTTTTTTGGGTTGTTTATCACATTCCTCTTGAATGCCAAATGATATCAGCTAGTTATGCCCCTTATATTTAGAGGGGTGTTGAAAAGCCTTGGGTCTTAACATTCATAAAATTGTTAGGAATACCAAATAAGCCCCCCCCCCCTACTTTTTTATTGGGTTTATTTTACACATTGAGCCATGCCTCCTTGTCTCATGAGGGGCCTAAATGAGCAATTATTTATGCCCATTAATGCAATGTTTGGGTAATCCCACAGAGCCAGTTCTGCTTACCAAAAATGGCCCACTATATACTCAGATTAGTCGCTGAAGCTTCAGCGTTCAAGCAAGCTTGGCATCTTGTCCATTTAAAGTTTGAGAATAGGTAGAGGATATTTCGTCCCCTAGTAAGTAAGTAATTATCAAAAGAAGGCACCAAACCGGGAAGGCATTTCGTTCCCAAGGCCTCTAATCACTAGCTTTACTGGATTACATTTGCTTCAATGAACACATTGAAACAGTACTGTACCACTAATATTTTGTGTAAATTATGTCTTGCCTACACTCCAGGGAGTACAATTTGAGGGATTTTAGGCAGTCCCAATAATTTAGCAATTTCATCAAATCTATGAAGGTAGAAAAAGTTATCTGCACATTCTTCAGTTAATGTGTAACAATATTCCATTATAGATAGAGTAAATCTTTTATAAAGTAACATCACTGGTTTAGCATTTATTACTTGAGAAAGCTAAAGTTGTAGAGGCTATAGTTTTCTTGGAGTTGTGACACCTACTCTATTATGCTCATTATAAGCAAGGTCTTGCAATATGATTGCTCCCAGGTCTTTTAAGTTGGTCTTCTTGCTAAAGTATGGTTTGACATCCATGAACTGCAGAGTTCTGGCCCATACACCATAACACATGTATCAAATTAAAACTTTAGGCTTGGCCACAGGCTGCTAGATCATGAGATCTATCGTGAACACTAATCTTTAAACTGTTTCAAGCAATTCTGTTTAAATTTCTTTATGATAGATCTGATTTGTATGTGACCAATGAGTTATCCACAAAGTTTGTCATTTTTATGAACTTTAAAGAAATTATGAAAACTGTGCATGTTTAAACCCAGTACATTGCAAACATACAGTACAGTATATTTAAAAAGTTTAAGATGAATTTTTTTTTTTACCAGATTTAGCCTCTAGATTGCTTAAAAGCATAAATGACTAAAAACAATAACATATCCTACTGAAATTATATCTTTTAATTATTCAATCAAATATTTTAAAATTGACGACTCATTTCTGTATTTCAAATATGAACCACGAGCCAAACTCCAGAATACTTACCCTACATATTTGTATGAAGAGAATGCTAATAGATCCAAGGATTTCACATGAGTCTGTATAGCTGTGACATACAATGTGGCAATAATGATGAAAATCTCCAGCACCAGCCACACCAGTGCTGAGCTGGCCTGCATCCCAAGCACATCAGGTGAAAATCTACAAAGATAAATATACTGTACAATTATTTCCTGTTCTGATGCATATTTTAGGTTACTGCAATATTTACCTTTGTAAACTTTAGCATTTACAGATGATCAATCAAAGCTAATCAAAGAAAATATATAATATTCTCAGCCTTAAAATTTAACATAATAAAATTAACCTGCAAGTTTTCAACATAAAATGAATACCAACTCTACAGAGAAAGCAAACAAAAGGCAAGGTTAGTATAAAACAATTATACATAGCACTAGTCAAATGGTATCAACACACTTGGGAGTTAATAGGAAAAAATAAGTGAAGGAACTTGGAAAGAAAAAAGTTATTTAATTTAAAAGCTTAAATTCAGAGTACAGTATAAATTTATGATGAATCTCAGTCCTGCGACCTGGTTAAGTTTCTCCAAATGTGTCGACATTAAATCCGGTCAATACCTTGACTAACATACTTTTGGATACCGGCACAGTTCCTGCAAAATGTGTGCATATCAAACTTAAATGTATTGTATATGAGAAAAATAGAGCTAGCATCCAGAGACCACCATTATCCCAGTTGGAAGCCCTATTACCCAGATCCTTATTTTCTGGATTACCAGGTTATCTGAGTGTAGAAATATTTGGCTTTATCCCCAGTAACCAGATCATGTCTATTTAATGGAGATTTACCCTCATAATCCATTAAGTTTATGGGGAATTTGGTGGCAGAAGACATTGATATTAAATAATACAAAAATGGAATTAATTTCCTACCAGTACATTAGTGCATTGCAGTTGAATTAAGTATCAAAATAAAAAAATTCTGAAGACAACGTTGCAACACGTTTTCAATTATTGTACGTATCTGCGTTTCAGTTATCCGGGCATCCAGACAGACTAATTGGTTCAGATAATAAGGATCACACTAATATTTATTGGAGCCTCCACTTTCCTACCACAAATTCAGCACAGAATGAAGTCCAAAATGCTTGGGATGTGCAACGATACACAGAACTTGCCAAAAATGTTTGGAAAGCACAAGAGTCTGGGAAGCCAAACACTAACTATGCAACTGGGTCTGGGCACCGACATGTAGAGAGAAGCAAGCCACTCCCTTGCATGCCTCAATAGGAGGCTCAAGTATTGAGGATTAAGGCCTCAATACTTGAGTCTTTGTGGGGGCATTCACAAACCCTTGCCAGTCAGAACAGGGAAATGCAGGCACTGTAAATAATGCACGAGCACATTAAAATGTGCTGCAGTATTATAAGTGGCATGATGAAAAGAGGGCTCCAGCAGGATCAAAGTCTATGCCCAGGATCAAAGTCCTTAAATGCACTAATTTATATGCATTTCATTCAAGTGAATGAAAATGATCCTTCACCTAACAGGGGTCTTTGGGTCTATAAATACACCACATCCTGGAAAGTGGCAAAGAGCAGAATCTGAAACAGAACCTGGGGAAGAAACCATACTGGCTCCACCAGCAAAAAGCTTACCAATCCAAGGACAAAGATGAGGGAAAAGGCCAAGTGTAAGAAGCCTGAACTCTTGAGTGCACTAACCAAACCCTGTACACCATGATCAAGACATGACTTATGCAGCCCACAGTTAAACAAAAACAAAAACGAATCACACAATACCCTTCAGACAAAACTCGGAGATCCACCATGCAAATACAATGGAGAAATGTGACACAAACCCTAAGGAGTGTGTGAAATGAAAGCCCAGGACCAAGGTACAGACATGGAAGTGTCCCAAGGCACAACTAAGGCAGTTGTATAACTATGTACAAAACTGCATTAAAGGTAACATAAAATAATTTTCAGGAAAGATGTTTCTGGGGCTGCCAGATTTTGTCAGTGCTATATAAGAATACTTTATTCTGAAACACACCTGAAGCAGATAGCTTTAATCACTGGTATGCAAAAGGACTGTTACAACACACCATTAAGCAAGAAAACAGCATCATGAAATGCCCAAAGGTAAACTTTAATTTATCAGCAGTGGACCCCTGGATTAAAAGCAAGTAGCTAGCTGCTCCGACCCTGTTGCTGTTCATTTCTTTGTATTACAGCAAGCTAGTACTCCTGATGGTGGTTGCTAGAGCTGACACTTGTTAATATCTTCCTTCCCAAGATACAGAACAGGATCACTAGTAAAGATACTTATCACTATGGGAAACTGTAGTGAGAGCATGGTGGGCGATACGAGCCTTGTGGATCACACAGGAACTGAGTGTGGGAGAACACCACCAAGGAGTGAAAGATGTAGCACGAGCCTATCTGACTTTTATCTATTAGGAGCACCAGATGCAACCTTGGGGTTGAGCTATGAAATAATGATCATATTAGGTTTAAGGCTACTATAAAATATTTGGGAAAAAGTGGATGTTTTCAGACACTACAAATTGATCAAGATAACGGGTATACATTATATTATAGACATTTTAGTGAAGGCTCGAAATTGTGAATGTTTTTTACAAAAACTTGCAAGCAATTATTACCTCAGATACAAGACAAAAATGTAAAATACAGTAGAGTACATATTTCACTTTTTAAAGTGTTGCATGAAAAGGGAAAACAACACAGAGGATTTATCTTAAAATTGTAAAATTCAAGACCAAACAAGTACTGTAATTATGAATTTACCTGGTGTACTTCACAGGGCAGTCCCAGCAACTGTACACAAAATTAACACATCACTATTATATATATTCAGATTTAGTTATCATACCTTCCTTCATGCTTCATAGAACACTAACAATGCATAAACCTAAATAATTGTGATCTAGAGCTACATATTTTGTGCGAGATATTTCTGGCATTCAAAGAAACGTGAAATATGCAGAATCTTCACAAAATATTCTGCTGAACAGCACATCAAAACCTTGAAGAAGTGGCAATTATACAACAACAGATCTCAAGACTTGTATGAATGAATCCTAAGAAGTTGGGTCATCCCCCATCACCAGTGAAATACCTACCAAATCTTTGGCACTGAAGGAAGAATATATACAGGTACTACAAAGCTGCTTTGTAAGCATTGTGGAATAAAATAAAATGCGGCCAAAATAACAAAGAGATTGAGAAGCAGTTAATGGTAAACTTTAAAAGGACAATGGTTAGAGGATATCTTGAATGTGCTTTAACACATTTCTGCCTTAGTGAATGTTTCATAGATTGCCAAATGATGAAAAGGTTGAGAAGTATAAAATAAAGAGCTGAAACATTGTAAATACTAGTGTACATCTGGACATACATACATACATACACGTATATACACACACACACACACACACACCCAGGAAGCAGCCTGTGACAGCTGACTAACTCCCAGGTACCTATTTACTACTAGATAACAGGGGCATTCAGGGTGAAAGAAACTTTGCCCATTTGTTTCTGCCTGGTGCAGGAATCGAACCCATGCCACAGAATTACGAGTCCTGCGCGCTATCCACCAGGCTACCAGGTGTGTGTACTCACCTATTTGTATTTGCCTATTTGTGCTTGCAGGATCACGCATTGACTCTTGGATCCCGCCTTTCCAGCCATCAGTTGTTTACAGCAATGACTCCTGTCCCATTTCCCTATCATACCTAATTTTAAAATTATGAAGAGAGTTTGCTTCCACAACCTGTCCCCAAGTGCATTCCATTTTTCCATTACTCTCACACTAAAAGAAAACTTCCTAACATCTCTGTGACTCATCTGGATTTCCAGTTTCCACCCATGTCCCCTCGTTCTGTTATAATTACGAATGAATATTTCATCTATTTCTACTTTGTCAATTCCCCTGAGAATTTTAGATGTCCCTATCATATCTCCTCTCTCCCTTCTTTTCTCTAGTGCCGTAAGGTTCAGTTCCTTCAGACGCTCTTCATATCCCACCCCTCGTAACTCTGGGACAAGCCTCGTCGCAAACCTCTGAACCTTCTCCAGTTTCCTTATGTGTTTCTTCAGGTGGGGACTCCATGATGGCGCAGCATACTCTAAGACTGGTCTCATGTAGGCAGTGTAAAGCGCCCTAAAAGCCTCCTCACTTAGGTTTCTGAATGAAGTTCTAATTTTCGCCAGTGTAGAGTACGCCGCTGTCGTTATCCTATTTATATGTGCCTCAGGAGTTAGATTAGGTGTTACGTCCACTCCCAGGTCTCTTTCTCGAATCATTACAGGTAGACAGTTCCCCTTCATTGTGTACTGTCCCTTTGGTCACCTATCACCTGATCCCATTTCCATAACTTTACATTTACTCGTGTTAAACTCCAGTAACCATTTCTCTGACCATCTCTGCAGCCTGTTTAAGTCCTCTTGGAGGATCCTACAATCCTCATCTGTCACAACTCTTCTCATTAATTTTGCATCATCCGCAAACATTGACATGTAGAATTCCACTCCTGTAAACATAGATTACAGATTTGAGGTTTGCGTATTTGGGTTTCACAGAGGCACCCAAGCAGTTTTTGACCTTCCACGAGCAGCCAAGTTTCCTTCCATCCTCAACAAATGGCTGTACACCATTATTTTCACCTGAAAATAATGGTGTTTTCACTTGAAAATTTGGCAACCATTATAGATAAAAAAAAAAAAATCCAGATACCTATGCACAGATTGCTTGATGTAAAGCTGAGCACAAGTCTGCCGGGATTATGTTGTGTAAAGTTAGACATGAGTGTGCCAAGTATAAAATTACCCACCAGTCAGTACTTGTTAGCAAAAACTGGATCATGTTCTTTGGAGTCTGTTCGCTTGTACACAAGTTACATTTTTGTTAATGAAATTTCGCCAACCTTTTAACTGATGCAAACTGATAAGATGCTCTCTAATCATCACATACAAATAAATGAGACTTGTGAAGAAGCATTAGACTGGACCAAGAGCTTGGATTTATCTAAAACACAATTTACAAATGGAATAATATAACCAAATAGAAGGTCTAGGAATTCTTTATGCGAGCTTTAAAACAATTCTGCAAGTGACCTGGCAGATAAAATGCAGTGCATCAATTTTAAATGTGTAACTTCATTATTTCTAACAGGAATACACTAGCATTAATTCAACAACCACCAACCAGATAAAGGTTAAAAGATGCACAAAAGATGAAATAGACGCACAGGTAAATTTTATGCTGATGAATGTTAAATCATATCCTAGACTAAAAATTTGAGATTGTACAAAGTCATGCTAAAAAGAGAATAAATAATTATTACAAATGAAACACTGGTATAAAGAATGCATGAATTATTTACTATCCATTCCATTCATATAAAAGATTCGGCACGAGTCATTCTGCTATAAATGAAATGAATATCACAAAAATAATGATATTGTAGATTAAGAGCCATCCACTAAGAGCCAGAAGGTCCTTGGGAAAAGGACCTTCTAAAATATTCCCAATCTATGGAATCAATTCAAAATAATTAAAACATGATAAATCTCACAAAAGTAGAATAACCTGTTCAGCTACATCTTGTAAACTTGTGTTTAAAAACAAATTAACTTACAGTGACAAACAATAAAATATTCACACCAAAATGTCTTGTACACTAAAAAGTTAATTAAAAATAACAAAAAATTATTGCAAAATCAACACAAAGTAGAGGCAATAAAACAGTATTCCTTCATCATTTTAGAACGTCTAAATGCAGAAGAAAAGCTCACCTCTCTTGTAGCCCCAAGCAGAGCCCAGCCACTAAGATGTAGGTCACTACAGCCATCAAGGGGATATACAAGTCAGGGGCATTGACCTCGTGACGTGGTTGTACGGGTTCGTCCTGCTCATACCGCACGCTCCAGTCCTGTGTAAATATGGAATTCAATATAGCTGTGCCATATTGAGGTCAATGCTATACAGTATATGAAAATTATAAACACCCTCCAGATATTATCTATGCTTCAAGCACAACTGCTCAAGACATTTCAACAAGATATCGGTTGATCACATTATGCAAATTCAAACCCGATAATAGTATTTATTGAAAAAAAAAATCTCTACACAAATTTCATATTTTCCCAAAAATACAAAAAAATAAAAATCTTGTACCATTGTAACATAAGATTATCTTAGTCCACAAAATGTAGTTAAATTAAACATGACATGTAATCTCAAACACCATTTCCGACACTTCTCGGTGGCAACATCTCTTAAATCCTTATACAACACTGATAGTCTCTCCCCCTCTGATGTGAACAAGCACTAATTATTTATGTCATTTAACAATTTTTTCTTGCCAGAGTTGTTTATGATTGCTAACTGATGTATGGGTAACTCTGCAATTAATTCCTAGCTATGGCAAAAGTCTGAAAATTATAAAAAAATCCCATGTCTCGGTACCTTGATTCTCGCTCAGAATGGGCAACTGAAATATGTTGACCGTGCACAGAATGCATAACACAAGTATTCCCAAACAAACAATTCCCTGCAATATATTTTTGTACAATACAATGGCAGTAGCAGAAGTAATGTTAACAAACTACACAAGTACCCTTGAGTATAGCTCAAATGAAAGAGACATGCTCGTCTTCACATTTGCAAGATATATAAAAAAATACAGTACCTACATATGCGATTCACTTTAGTGCAAAGTATTAAATATGGAGCCCGGCATAAAACTATGTACTGTATCTAAAATTTGGAAATCGTTTAACCCAAACCATTCTAGATTTTTTATACTATTCTAGTAGAATCTTAAAAATACAAATGGTAATTTGTTTAAAATGTATATACAGCATTTAATTTGCACTTATAAATGCCATACTGTATATGCATTTCATTCATGTACATACTCACACAAAATGCCAAAATACATTGGAATGGTCAAAATTTGTAAAATCCTGATCATCAAGAGCCACACACCTCACAGGATCAAGTCCTTAACCATCATGACTATCAAATTAATATACAGCATACAATGATTCAATTGTCAACAATGATATACTTGTATAGAAAAAATTATTAATATTTTAAAATAAAGTACTGTATTTTATTAGATTTATTTTAGATGAACAGTAATTTTGTCCAAGATAATAAAGAGACGGCAACAAATACACAAAAAGCCAGCAACAGTGTGAATACTGATAAATAATTGATTGTGCAACTGGAGTAATTGTAACGTACCGAATGTGTGAATGGGAAGAAGAGCAGTTTGAGTTTCTTCATTACATACTGGGTGTCAACCGCAAAATAATACTTGACTTGACTCATACTGACGTATTTATGCAATTTTTGATCCACATACTCTCGGCCCTGATTAGCTAGAGTCTGTCCATACTGCATTGCCATGTTGGCTACCAATGGGTCCTGTGAGAAAAATATAAATAAACCAACAACCAAAATTCTTATGTATAAAATAAAGGTGAACAAAATATTTTATTTCCAGTTTCATGAGGTGTAGGGGGCTCTGCCTAGAAAATAATGGAAAGCAATATTGGCCATGAAAGCTGAAGACATTTAGAAATGACACTCATTAATCACAGCTTAAATACTACATGTAGCATCAAGGAAAACTAGCACCACTACACTTAAGAGTAAATAATCCAAAGCAGCACCCCATGCTTCATAAGGTTCCCTCAGAGTTGTCCTATATACAAACACTGTACATCCTTTATACCACCTTCCTAACCTGCAGTAATATACCAGCATCCTATTGCCTACCATCTCTCTCATGCTGCCCATACTCGATCTCGGCACCCTCAAACACGCACCACATCCGCCCATCACGATGTCGGCCCCTCTCTCGATATCCTCAAACGCACTAAATTAGTTTCTCTTTACCTATTATCAACCATTTGCTCAACATGGCTAAACCTTCTTGGTATTGTACAGCCCAAATATTGCTCATTTTCATTACCATATCTTTTCTCAAGCCACATATGTTTCTCAGGTTGCCCCTTTCTTCTGCTCAAATTGTTAATTATGAAAAGTATTCTTGTGGTAAAGCCACAAGTAATAAGTTTTTTCTTGTAAAAAGTTATGAAAAGCATCCTTAAGAAATAATTAATACCTGTATTTATAAATTATTTTGTAAACATAATACTAAATATTTCTAAACTGCTTTTATATTAGTGGTCACAACTATTAGTGAAAATAGGTTTTACATAAATTGATCAATTACAATTAGTGGTGGTGTGGATATCACAATGATTTACTGCAAACACTATTCTAAGGCTGCAATCATTAAAGGCTTCCAGACTGATGCTATCACTGGTCAAGAAGCGTGGTCGGAGTAAAATGTTCAAGAGTGTGTGTGTGTGTGTCGGAATTAAGGAAGGTCCCGTAATATCCTGTACTGTACACTGGTCTATGTCCTCAGCACTCAATGTCCTGGGTTCGATGCCCAGACAGGACAAAAAATGGTTGGGCATGTTTTCTTTCACCTGATACTGCATCTTTGTTCTCCTAGCAATAAATAGGTACCCGAGAATTAGGCAACTGTTTTGTGTTGTGTCCTGGGAAAGGTCAGTACGTTAGTTGGCTTTGGGGAACCTCAATAAGTCTAAGTACTGTACAGGTTTTCTCTCCCTGACAATGTGAACTAAGAGACACAAAGCACAAGTGTACCCTTTTATGAGGCAAGAACAAGTTACGTACTAACATTGATACGTAACCTGCACAGGCAAGAATAATAACCTGCATTAAGTCATCCATGGCCCTTATTAGCTATAGTGGAAGGCAAACAAATCACTAAAAGGTAAAGATATATCAAATGCATAATTTTTAAAATAAAACATGTAAAATTACAAGGAAAACTGAATTAGATATCATAGTACAGGATACAAATACTGTACTTACCTGAAATATTTGTGTTCCTGGCACACCACCTGTGTAAGCACCAAAGGACCCACTTGCAGTCTGGTCCACTTGTGCTGGAGGTGGATACCCATAGTTCATGCCTGCATAACCTATGAAAATAAATACAGTATTTTAATTTGTGGTTATTGATTTTACAACAATAACGTAGTTTAGAATAATAATAATAATAAATAATAATAATAATAAATAATAATAATAATGTTTATTCAGGTAAAGTACATACATACAAGAGGTTTTACAAAAATTGATAGATTTATAGATAGAGCTAGTACATACAATGCCTAAAGCCACTATTACACAAAGCGTTTCTGGCAGAAGGTAGAGAAGCTAGCTGTTTATAAGGATTCTATTTTCTTCCTCTATTGATACTTAAATCTTGGTAACATTTTCTATAAAATGTAACCTTGTTGTCTGTCATGCAGACAATATGAATCTGACCTTAGATACAGCCATATTCTTAATTTATTTCACATATTCTTCAACCTGATTCTATTTTATTAAGGGATACTGCTTTTCTCCTTGAGCACATTTCCTTAGACAATTAGAAAGTTTTCTTTTGCAAACAGTGGAGGATGGTTGGAACAAGCTAAGCAAGAAGATGGTGGAGGCCAAAACCATCTGTAGTGTCAAAGCGTTATAAGCGTACTGGGAAGACGGGACACCACAAGTGTAGCTCTCATCCTGTAACTACACTTAGATACAGTAATTGCACTTAGGTAATTACACTATTATTTTCACGCAACTGTCACTTGTACACACGTACTGGACATGTATGTATCAAAGGCTGGCCAAGTAATGACTAAGATATGAAGTCAAGGAACTACATATCATCCAATAAAGCAGACAATCGAGCGAGTGCACACATTCTGATAACCTAAGTATGTAATATCTATCAAAGTACATAAATTCAAATCAATTAGAAGTTTTTATATAATACAGTATTTATATTTTAGACTTCCTTTATAAGAAATCTGAACAATAATTGCCACAATTATGCAATAGCAATAATTATAATTTGCAGCAAAACAGTGTACTGTACTTTATTTGCTTGTAGTAACCAATTAAAAAGTATAACAGCTCTTTCTTTTTTAAGTGAGAAATGGAACTTTTTTTTTTTATCTCCAAGCATTTTTCTTTATCCAAAATTACACAAAGTACAGAAAGAAAACTTTACCTTGGTTTCCATAGCCAAAATTTTGGCCACTGGTATCTTCAAAGAGTTGTGGCGGCGCTTGTTGTTGTTGTTGAGGCTGCCCATACGCATCATACTGGTTTTCATACATGTTCCCTACACTCTTTTCTGAAGGCAATCCACCACCTAATACTCTCCGGCCACGATTCTGCTCTACTGAACGACCTAAAATAAAGATAAACAGCAAAAATTTACAAACCGAACATTTACAAAAATAGAGTGAAAGGAAACAATGTGACTTAGTGGAGCTACAATACAAAAAATGAAGTGAAAGAAATGATGACAGTGTAAAGAAACAAATTGAGAGAAAGCAACTTCAAATGATATTCCACCAACCAGGGTTTCATCAAATCAACTGAATTGATAAAGCACTTACAGAAAAATATTAAATTTTAAAGAAAATTTACCCACAACTTGCCATTTCTTTAACCTCTGCATTGCACCATAGTTTAATATGATGTTCCCAGTGAGCATACAAAAAAACTATCCCCCCCCTAAATTTGTTTTCCTTCTAATACTGGTAGTCCAACCACTTGGGTTGGTCGGTAGAGCGACGGTCTCGCTTCATGCAGGTCGGCGTTCAATCCCCGACCGTCCAAGTGGTTTAGCACCATTCCTTTCCCCCCGTCCCATCCCAAATCCTTATCCTGACCCATTCCCAGTGCTATATAGTCGTAATGGCGTGGCGCTTTTCTCTGATAGTTTCCTTCCTTCCTTCTAATACTGGTATTGTTAAAATGCGTTACCCGATCGCGGAAAAAAGAAAAATTGTACGAGACATATTTTGGCCAAGACAGAGCAGAGAAGTTGAGCAATTCATGGGCATTGAATGAGTACAATATTCAGCCAGGAACACGCACCAGCAGCTCCATGTGCCGGGAATTGCCGCAAAAAATAATTTTACACAATTTAAGTCTGAATTTTTTTCTTTTTTATTGCCGTAATGTTATTCAACAGTGTGTAATTTGAGAAATTTATATAATCAAATGTGTGGAATATCACTATGCTCAACAATATAAGTGAGACTAAGATATGCACCATACTGTATATGTTTAGAACAATAAAACACTGTTTTTGATGTTATTACACCATATACAGAGGAACATTGGGTGATGAGTGGTTCCATCTACGAGCATTTCAGGTAACAAGCGAGCCACTCGCAGAAAATTTGTCTCGATTGACAGGCTTTTGCTCGGGTAACGAGAATACCATGTGGTACTTCCTAACGTTCCAACTGGTTCTCGCAAATTCTCGGACGCCTCCAACGATGCAAACCAATACAAAATTGTTAAAAGATGCTAATGATGCTGGGATGTAAAGGGGTGACTGCTGCAATATTGCAAAGAATTGATTTTTTTAGAACAAATTTAAAAAAAAAAGTAAAAAAGGTTTGTTTAGTGAATGTCAGGTAGGCTGCTCCATTTTCTATGAAAAAATATAAACAAGTGAATTTCATATTGGTGTTTTTCAGTGGTGGAACAGATAAATTTTATTTCCATTATTTTAAATGGGGAAATTCGTTTCACATGACGAGCTCAGTGCCGGAACGGATTAAATTCGTTAACCGAGGATCTTCTGTATACACTGTATTATACAGTATATGTATATATAGCTATCTACATTTTATGAACTACTAAGCATTTCTGGTGAGTGTAATAACTTTATAACTGGTTATCAGGGATCAACCTAGTCCTACATTGTTTACATCAAGTTGTAACAGCACACATTAAATATATCGAATTTACTTCATATCGTAAATGCTTTTACCATGGTCTTCTCATATGTAATGATGCATTGGGCTGTCAATAATACTTGTATTAAAGAATGTGTAGAATATTAGTACTTGCAGATACAGTATTCATGTCATATAGTAATACAAGTTCAAGTATTATATTCTATGAGCAATAAAACGTACAGTTTCTACAGTTATTACACTATATGCAGACATAATATTAACATTTTTATGTACCACAATGAACCAATAATCACTTCTGGTGAGTGTGGTTATGAAATCAAAACAACACAGCTACAAGATATGAGCAGAGTACTCTTAACAGACGTCACTTGATGCAAGAAAATGCTTTCAGTACTACACACATTATAAAGATTAGCTATAGAACTGCTACTGTCACATTCCTGTCACTAAATCCTAAATGTAAATAAATTTTCACAAGGTTATATTGTAATGGTAAATGAGGGCATTTCATGATGCATAGAGGCAGGAAACTGTCCAAGTGCTGTGACTGACTGCCTCATGCTGCGAACATCATAACTACATTGTTGAACAATCCATACACTAGAAGACGAAAAGACAACGACGTTTTGGTCAGTCCTGAACCATTATCAAGTTGATTGTGATGAGACACGGGAGGCACGGGTATAAGTAAGGCATGAGGTGAGAAGAGGAGGAAGCCTTAGAGGACAGTAAGAGCACAGCGAAAGGTACGGAAGGAAAAGGTGTAATAAAGGGTGTTAGGGGATAAAAATAGAATTAAGAATGGGAACATAAGAAAAAGAAGAGAAAGAAAACAAAGAGAAAAAAGGATGGGGTCGGCTTATGTTAGGTCACATTTGTTAGAAACTTTAAAACACTTGAGTGTGTACTGTGAAAGGGAAGAATCAACAGCAACAAAGCCAGGACTAAGTTTCATGTTGGGTAGGTTGTGTATCAGAGCTAATTCAACAAGATGGCATCTGTGAAGAGTAGAGGTAGGAAAGATTATTTCAGAAGACCAATCAATAGGATGACCAGAATCCCTAACATGACAGATGAGAGCAGTGTCTCGTGTGCTGCTTGTGCACATTTAGAAAAAAACAGCATCCACCCAACCCACTGTACATGGGCTGGAAAAGCCTACAGCAGAAAGCCCAGTCACACAAGGTGGCCTCTGCCCAATAGTCTACACAAGAAGGCAACTCAGTTAAGTCTAGTGCTGAAAAATGCCACACACACACATCCACAGAAAAAAATGACCCTGGCACCCAGCAGGCTACATGATGATGGCAACAAAAATTGTGATCATGGTCTATATACACACAAGCCCACCGCCCACCCTGATAAACTGCAAACCACAGTTAAGGACTTAAATGATAAAGCCAGAATAATCCAGCCAAAAAACAAGTACCAGACAATAAACCCCATAGGGATGAAGGACTAGCCACCTTAGCATCACACAAACAGGCAGATGTATCGGTCAGATGATAGGGTCTTGGCGAAGCAAACACTGAACTCCAACCTAGAACTTTCGGTGAAGATGGATGCAAACAGCAAAGAAAATGAAATTTGTATATGCCACCCAAGCATGCCCTTTCTTTATTAAAATGCAAAAGCGCTCACTTGACACCCACTAGAGAAGGGCCAGCATGCACAACTGCAGAATGTCTCAATTTTGTTTTCTCAAGGAGGGGGGGGGAGGAAATACGTCTTATGCACTGCCCAGATGTAAATTCACTCCAGAGTAGTCGGCTTGTAGAGGAGGAAGCATGCAAACCTCCCCTCAAGGCAGGTATGTCTGGTAGGGTATAGGTAAATGGAAGCCAACCTCATGGAAGGGAAGCCAACCTCACCCTGGCTAAGGTTGAAGGGAAATCAAATGTTAGGGCACACAATATAGGTACAATGAACACAATTATGAACCATAAACAAAAACAAAGCAATTGTTGTCAGCAGAATGTAATGTTTTAAGGAAAGTGAACACCATTCAGCTGAAGGCAAGGAGTCAATGTTGGGCCAAGCAGAGGCTATAGGTGTTGGATGGGCTACACCAAGCTGAGAAGCAAAGGGGCAAGCTGGCTCAGACCTCAGGTGATACTAGAGGGCCAGGTACCAAATCTACACAGTAAAATAACAACATACTGGAGTGAACGATATGGAAGAAAATGCAGAACAGAACCAGTGAAGAGCAGGGGTGCCATAGATCAGAGAACACTGTATAAACATCAGAGGTCCATGGTTGTTCAACATCCTCCCAGCAAGTATAAGAAATATTGCCGGAACAACCGTGGACATGTTCAAGAGAAAACTAGATAGTTTTCTTCAAGGAGTACCGGACCAACCGGGCTGTGGTGGATATGTGGGCCTGCAGGCAGCGACAAGCAACAGCCTGTTTTGGACCAAGCTCTCACAAGTCAAGCCTGGCCTCTTGCCGGGCTTGGGGAGTAGAAGAACTTCCAGAACCCCCATCAAGCAGGTACCTGGACTGCCATTGGGTGGCAGTCAGGCACCTCACAGTCAAGGTATTTATCCATGGCAATAATTTTTGTTTACCCAGGGGTATCTAATTTCCTTCACAAGTCACTTGTTTTTCTGAACTATGCATGCTGGAGAGTACTCCCCCCCCCTAGTTTTATTTTATGGAGAACCTCAGTACTGTAATTATATGAACATATTCATTATTGTACTTTAATTAGAATAAACAAGATTTTTCAGTTAAATTTGGATTCCATAAGTAAATGATGCAAATGATAATGGAAATGGGAAAAGTGGGTATATGCACCAAGGCCTGCAGACTGACTGAAATCTCAGCAAATTAGATAAACAACAGGGCCTAATCATGAATGATAAATTATCACAACTAAGCACACACTAAAATGAGTCTAGCACTGCAATTTTGGCAAATTTTAAAATTGCTTTTACAGGTTTACATATGTGGATGGATACACATGTGTTAAATAAATTACAGTACTTGTACTTACAAAGTCAGATATAAACTGGTGAAGCCAGATGTGGTACGATGCCTGCACTTGAAGAGTTAAAACTACGGTATTACAAAAATGTCAATAGATTGAAGGTTTACAATTAAATGAATTACAGATATATGATCTATGAAAAAAGACTAAAAGCTCTGACCATTCCCTTGTTGGAAGAAAAGCTACGACATGATAACCACACAAATTTGTAAAAAGATACGAGAAAACAAGCAGGGAAGAGTTTGATTAAAAAAAAAAAAAGCAGAACTAGAAGTCACATCAGAAAAGGCATGAAAGGAATAATATGGTCAGATGTTGACCAGACCACACACTAGAAGGTGAAGGGACGACGACGTTTCAGTCCGTCCTGGACCATTCTCAAGTCAACTTGAGAATGGTCCAGGACGGACCGAAACGTCGTCGTCCCTTCACCTTCTAGTGTGTGGTCTGGTCATCATACTTTGGCCACATTATTG